AGACCCCAGAACATTAAAACCATAATGAAGGATGTGTAACACAAAATACAATATACAAAGTTAGCACAGACTCCAGACTCTATCACTATCCTCATTTTATGTATTATACCCTCCCTTCTCCAGTGTTATCCTGACAGCAACAATGTGTTATATAAACAGACAACCAGGTATCATCACTGCTCATTATCTCGCTTTATTGTCAATTAAACCAGCACCTACATTATTGTTTAAACTGCCAACTAACTTCTCCAATAAAAATCTCTGGTGGAGAGGTGGATTAACAACAGCTAGTGATACTGGCACAGCCAAACCCAAAACAAAAAAATGTACAAAACTTACAAAGTGTAAGTGGGAATCGGGGAACTATATCCAAGGATGTGAAATGATATGGTAAATAAATCCTCCTATAAATAATAATTTAAAAGTTATCAATAGTGTATGGTGTGCTGAGTTGTGGTGGACAATAGGTGTTGTGGAATTCTAGATCCATTAATAAGAAGTCCTTTAGTGACTTAATGTGTATAATTGTACATGGAGCCTTCCTACAATTATGCATCAGCCTAATATACCAGTGGACACACCAATAGCTGAAAACGATAAGTAAACTGCTTTTGGCATACTCCATTAGAATCCATGAATAACTCTATATCAAATATGTTGAATAATAGTAATGGAATGGAATTATCTGATAATTATCACTTTTATTACGTGGTAACTACACATTTTACATTTTGTTTTTATATTAAAATTATACATGCTATTGATAAAGAGGGAATATTTTTTTTTTTTTATAGTACCACCAACTTAATGAATAACTGTGATTTTCTTTTTCAGTAAAAGGAACTCTCTAATTATCTCATCGCCCATGAAATGTACAAGTTCTTTTTTCATGGCTTCTGCAGATGCCGGAGTTAGTATTCAGAGCAATCAGGGTAATTTAGCAGATCAGAAGCATGATAATAGCTCTCTGTCATCAAATACCAGTGAAACACAAGATTCTATGTCTGAAGCAAATATGGATCATGTTCAAGAAGATGTTCAAGAGGATGAAGATGTTATAGAAATCTCCAATCTGAAAGAAACACTAGAACCCACAGATATGCCATTAGAGGACTCAAAAAAAGATACCATAGAGGATTCAAAGAAGGGTGGCCTAGAAAAAGTACTAGATGCAAGTACAAGGGAAATTAATCACAAAAATCTAGAAGACTCGGCAAAGGAGGAGTCCAAAGAAATTGCACATAGCAATGTACGTGATGGATTAAAAAAGGATTCCAATGAGTTCACACAAGTGAATACAGATGACACAGCAAACCAGAATGTTGAGGGCACAAAACAAATAGCCAAAGGGAATTCTGAAGATGAGGATCCAACGGGTCATCAAATGGATGTTTCAGGAGACAGTATTCAAAATAACTCTGAGGATACAACCAAAAATGAAGTGAAACCTGGCAATTCAGGCAACACAATACAGGAAGAGTCCATGATAAACACACAACAAAACTCAACAGATGTAATAAATTGCAGTTCTGGACAAACCATACAGAAGATAACGGAGCAGTCAAGTGATTTTACAGATAGAGATTCAAAGAATAAGGCAGAAGAGTATTCTGGTAATGGGACACAAGGAGACACAGAAGATCCTAATAAAAATAACTCAAAAGATACAACTCCTGAAATTTCAAAAAACGGTAAAAATGAGTTTAAAGAAAATTCTGTGGATGGGAAAAATACAAGTGATTCTGCACAAACTTGCAACGACGTGGAAACAGCTTGCAAAGAACAAACAGCAGGAACCCTCAGAATGGCTGCCATAAGCCTTTCTGAAGTCAACGATGAGCGATCATGTGGGGCTCTAGACAGCTCTGATCAAAGCCAAATAGTTTCTGAGACATCAGCCACAACTCAGCAACAAAATACTGACAACAACTTGGGTAAGAATGTTTTTTCTCTGACCTAGTTTTACAGTGTTACTCTTGTAGGGGAAAACGAGTCACAATTACCAGAGAGCAAACTGCAGATATAAGTAAACAAATAAACAGTTTGCTTTTCATACCAGCAATCCAGTTAAAGAAAGTGAAAGAAACAGCTTTTCTCCTATTTTTACTTTCTATCTTCTGGAGATTCATTTTGTTTTGGTCGAGAGGTATTCATGATTAAGCAGCAGGATGCGTATGAGAAGTATAGTTCCCTGTGTAAATAATATGTTTACATCCCAGAGTAACACGTAGCCTATGATTTATTGTGCATGCAGAGCCTACAACCACGTGACATATTTTGGACAATCGCAATGTTTAAAAATGAGAACTTATTGTTCCAAAGGCATCAGTAATTTGTCATCTCTTATACTAAAACTCTTATCCATGTATCTGTCCATGTATCCAAACAAATCCATGGATTTAAAATGACAGTAGTTCTAAAAACTATGTCCAACTTAAATTCATGTGGAATTGTAGGCCACGAGTCTAGAATATCAAAGTTCTTCATAGTTTGTGTGCTACATTTATGTAGCTGTTTGTGGTCTAGATGTTTGTACACTATATTTTATATAAAGTATGAAGGAGAGCTGAGCATTCTGGGTAATGTAGCCTAAACATCTTTATGTTTTACAAAGTTATTTATCATTATTAACTCCTTTATATCCCTAGATGTTTTTGGAATAAATTCGTCATGAATAGCTATCTAGTCCTTAGTTGGAGTGGCGGAGCACATAGTTAAAGGAAATAAAATTGCAAAATGAGACATTGGAAAAAGGGCAGCACACATCGACTGATTGTAACCAAAAACTAATCTGTTGGAAGTATATTGTATTTACAATTTGCACTTTGTTGGAAACAATAAATAAAATGTATAATTTAGTACCAGAAGGACATACATCTATATCATATATATATATATATATATATATATATATATATATATATATTTATATTTATTCATTATGATTAGTGATGTCCCGAGGTGGGAGGGTCTGGGAGGGAGGGTCTGCTGCTAATTGGCTGGAATGTGTCTGCTGACTGTGAGGTACAGGGTCAAAGTTTACTCAACGATGACGAATAGGGGGCGGACCGAACAGCGCATATGTTCGCCGTTCGGGACATCACTAATTATGATTGTTTGAAAACATTGCAACGTGGTTCTGTCCATCAGTTAAAGTCATCTCAAAACTATAATATAGTATAATAATCCTTTCATCAAGCTTTGAAAGGAAATAGAGTTTTTTACATGAAGTATATTGAAAAAAATAAAATAATAGAACTTATCCCTACTTTTAGCATATTACAGGATTCTTCAGAAAAATACTTGCACCTTAGGTCAGACAGTGTTTGAAAACCAACTGTTAGTCTCTGTGGTTTTCCCTGCGTCTGTGTGAGAGTACAATAGTGATAAATGCCAGTAATAATAATAATAATAATGATGTCTTCTGACAGGTGAAGCCACCAGCAGGTCCACTTTTGCTGGAGGGGACATGCTTTTAGCAGGAGTTGAGAGCTGATGTTACATTAGTGTAATGCCTAAAGTCCACAGAACATGGCATTGCTGGAGAAGAGATGTTACTCAAGATCCGTTTTAGCTATTAAATCTATTATTTATCACTCTGACAAAATATTCATGAATAAGGAGATTTTAGAACTGAGCCATTCATGATAGTTTAATTTAAGCCTCTGAGCAAAGAATTGTATGGTACCTTAAATTCTCTGTAGGTATTATAATGATATTTTTAATTTCATGCAGAAAAAAATGCTATGAGCTCCACAAACAAGGACCAAAATGAAGAACATTCCATCGCTGAAGAGAATGACCGACTTTAGTCCCAGGATGTCAAACACCAATAATGGAAAACCGACTTTGAAACCTTGTTGAACAATGAATAGGTAGAAGCAGAAAAACCAATCCATGAATCTGCATGACGACAAATCTTTTTATTAGGCAGAAATAAACAGATGTAGACTTACGGAGGGTTCTTCTATGTCAACTCACCTACTTCCAATAACGTCTGATGAATTGCTTGCGTTCATTTACAGGAATGGAAAAGCTAATAAATGTTTTAGTTTGAAAACTATAGCAAAATATGATTTTCTTTACTTTACTCGTGTTAAGTTAGTGAAAAGCAGTGATAACCGGTGACGTTTAGAGATGGTGGGGCCCCATACTCTACCGTGGGACTTCACACTGTCCATGAATTATTTGGTTCTGAGCATTTAACCCCATTTACTCAACCCCTGATCTAATGAGAAGTCATGCCATGTTAGGCATATATTTGGTAAACAACAACCACTTTACAGCGAAAATTAGATTATCTTCTGTCTTCAGGTTTGTCAGAAGAGGTTCTGAAGGAAAACAAATTGTGTGTATAATGCTCTCAGTTTTTTGGCTTCCAATTTCATGGATTAAACATGTCTCTAAAAAAAGAAAACTGTGGACACCGTGTCATGGAAATTGTAGGGGTAATTTTGCATATAATTCATGTTGTTCTAATGTTTCAAATCTTAGGCCACAGTCTGCTAAGTTTTCAGTTTGGCTATTGTTTTTATTTTAAAATTTACTTTGAATTCCTGAAAGTTCCTACTTAAGTACCACTGCTGGTGCTAAATGTATCTGTTTGTATATGCATTTTCTCATACTGTAAAAAATGTGTTTGATGTATACTGAAAATAATCACAGAGTTGTCTACACACTTTGCAGAGTGTATTTCTATGCTTGCTTCATTTAGTTTGTTAAAACAAACAACAAAAACCTTTTGTGCATTTAAACAGCAGTAAATGGCCCTGAAACATATTTGAATTAATCACTTAATTTGTTCTTATTCTGATTATATTTAAATCTATTTTTATAATGAATAAGTACATAGAAATTGTATTTAAGAACCTGCACCAAGCAAACAGCCACTAAAAAAAAATGTGACTATCTCTAGTCATTTCACATGTTGGAGACATGTTCCTGCTATTCTTTGTATATATGTACAATAGGGATGCACCGAAATTTCGGCTGCCACAATTTGAGGCCGAAAATGGGCCTATACCATGTCGGCCGAAAAAGGGTCACATCTGCCGAAAATAGGGCAGAATGACTTGTCAGGTCCTCTGATCATGACCGAAGACCCGACATCGGGAGGGGGCCCGGTGGCTTGCCCTGTGTGCCGCCGGGTGCAAGGCCCCTCCCATCTGCGCGGCCAGTACAGTCTGCAGCTCTGCCCAGTGTGAGCTGTAGACTGTGCTGTATCTCACGATCTCTGGCAAATCAGATAATTGCCGCAGGTTACCACGGCAATGCTCTGACTTCTGGAGTTCGCGAAATGCAGCACACTGGGCAGTCACCCCCTCCCTCAGTCACTATCACTAGTCACCCCTCCCTCAGTCACTTTCACCCCTCCACCCCCTCCCTCAGTCACTGTCACCCCCTCCCTCAGTCACTGTCACCAGTCATCCCCTCCCTCAGTCACCAGTCACCCCCTCCCTCAGTCACTGTCATTAGTCACCCCCCTCAGTCATTGTCACCAGTCACCCCGTCCCTCATTGTCACAGCAAACCCTTCCTTCATTGTCACCAGTCACTCTGCCACCAGTCACCCCCTCCCTCAGTCACCCTCCCTCAGTCACTCACACTCCCTCAGCTCTGTTCACCCCTCTCCTCAGTCACCCCTCCCTCAGTCACTGTCACTCAGTCTCCCTCCCTCAGTCACCCTCTGCCTCAGTCATTGTCACCAGTCACTCTGTCACCAGTCACCCCCTCCCTTGGTCACTGTCACCAGTCACCCCCTCTCTCAGTCATCCCCTCCCTCAGTCACTCTGTTACCCCCTCCTTCAGTCACCAGTCACCCTCTGCCTCAGTCATTGTCACCAGTCACTCTGTCACCAGTCACCCCCTCCCTTGGTCACTGTCACCAGTCATCCCCTCCCCTCAGTCACTGTCACCAGTCACCCCTCTCTCAGTCATCCACTCTGTCACCCCCTCCCCCAGTCACCCTCTGCCTCAGTCATTGTCACCAGTCACTCTGTCACCCCCTCCCTCACTCTGTCACCAGTCACCCTCTCCCTCCCTCACTCTACTACCAGTCACCCCTCCCTCATTCTGCCACCAGTCACCCAGTCACTCTGTCACCTGTCACCTCCTCCCTCAGTCACCCCTCATTCTGTCACCAGTTACCCACTCCCTCACTCTGTCACCAGTCGTCACCTCCCTCCCACACTCTGCCACTAGGCACCTCCTCCCTTACCATGTCACCCCCTCACTCTGCCACCAGTCACCCCTTCCCTCACTGCCACCCCCTCACTTTGCCACCTCCTCACTCTGTCACTCCCTCACTCTGCCAACTGTCACCCCCTGCTTCCCTTACTCTGCCACCTGTCACTCCCTCTCTTTCCTATACTCTGTCACCTGTCACTCCCTCCCACGCTCTGCCATTCCCTCACTCTGTCCTTCCTATCCCACCCCACACTATGTGTCCTACCCATACTACATCCCTATCACCCCACACTATGCGCCCTACACCCCTATCACACCGTGTGCCCTACACACACTACATCCCTAGCCCACCCTACACTATGTGCCTTACACACTCTACATAACCTACAAACATACAAACTACATCCCTATCCCACACCACACCGTGTTCCCTACACACACTACATAACCTACACAGTACATCCCTATCCCACACCACACAGTGTTCCCTACACACACTACATAACCTACACACACACACACTACATTCCTTTCCCATACCTCACTATATTCCATACACACACTACATAACCTACACACTGCACCCCTATCCCACACCACACAGTGTTCCCTACACAAACTACATAACCTACACACACAGACACTACATTCCTTTCTCATACCTCACTATATTCCATACACACACTACATAACCTACACAAATCATTTGGGGGCGGGGGGTAATTTTCGTTTTTTAGCCAAGGGCATCCTGAATTTTCAGTTTGGTTTTAGCCCAGAATTTTCATTTCGGTGCATCCCTAATGTACAAACTGTACTGATGTTTGTGAACACTAGGGGGCAGTATATCCTCTCATTTATACAAAGAGTCAAATCTGTAGAATTTGACTGTTCCTTGTAAACCATGAAGAAATACAATTACTAGGAATAGATAGTTAGAATAACTTTTAGAATAAAACACAATTTAGAATAAAACAGTCGATCTCCTGGTCATTTATATTTAGAGATTGTCTATTTTTAAAAATTATCAGCAAGTGAAAACTAAAGGAAAAATAATAATATTCAAACTTTAAAACTAATGTACTAAACAAATGTGATTTACAAGCCCAAAATGAAAAGTGATCTTAGTTTGTCTATTTGGGCTTTTCCAATTTATTTAAATTTAAATGCCGGAGGGGGGTTAAATTTGTATTAGGTCCCCCCCATTTGTATTTAGGGCCCCCACCCACCGCTCAGGGGTTGGGGCCAAGGGGGAGGACATTAGGTCCCCCCCCTTATTCTAGTTTAGAGCCCCCACCCACCGCTCAGGGGTGGGGCAGGGGGGAGGACATTAGGTCCCCCCCCCTTATTCTAGTTTAGGGCTCCCACCCACCGTTCAGGGGTGGGGTCCCCCCCCCAATTTGTATTTAGGGCCCCCACCCACCGCTCAGGGGTGGGGGCCTGGGGGGAGGACATTAGGTCCCCCCCCAATTTGTATTTAGGGCCCCCACCCACAGAAAAAATGCAGAGAAGAAACTAAACAGTGTTTCTGACTCCCATTATGTATTGTAGTGTGTGCCCTGAACTGGTTTGTGATGCAATTTGATAAATTCTTAATTTAAATGTAGAATAAAATGAAGCATTAACTAAAAAAAAAAAAAAAGGTTTTCAAAACAGTAACGCTTCCCCCTTAATCTTTACTAGTGGATCATTAACAAGGTGTCAGCCCCCAGATGTAATGTCCCATTTCTGGGTAGCCAGGACATCTAAAGAGACAGAAAGTATTTTTTTCTTTGTTTTGTTTGTTTTTTTGTTTTAAATATTGCCCTTATTTAAGTTCCAAAATATTTAATAAAAACCATAAAACAGTGATGGCTATGGCGTGTGTCTGTCTGCATCAATGCAGAGTAGACACCTGCCTGCCCAGAACGGCAGGCGCCTACTCTGCTTTCTTGTCGGGAGGACCGGAAGCAGGGAGAGGGATCTCAGAAGCAGCTCTCCTGTCCTCCTGCTAGCAATCTGTGTGGAGCGTTTCTGCGTGTTACCATGGCAATGCTCCACACAGCATCGCGCAAAAGGACAGGAGAGCTGCTTCCCTGTCACATACTTACCACCACCAGACCACCAAGGATGGCTGTGTCCCCCCCTCCTTCACCAAAGGTAAGAAGAAAGGAGGGGGGATACAGATTTAATATACCTTTTTTTAAATTTATTTTTTTAATGTTACTTTCCACCTTCACACACGCAGCAACCCTACCCACCACAGAGCATCCAACCCCCACACACACACAGCACCTCTACCCCCCCCCACACATAGCACATGTACCTCCCCCACACACAGCACCCCTCCCACACACACACAGCACCTCATACACACACACACACAGCACCTCATACACACACACACACATCATACACACACACACAGTACCTTACATACACACACACACACACATGCCCCTCACACACAGCACTCCACACCCGTACACACAAACACATACACTGCACCCCTCAATGCAGTATCAGTGTGTGTTTATTCAGCAGACTGTGTGTGTATTCAGCGGACTGTGTGTGTGTATTCAGCAGACTGTGTGTGTGTATTCAGCAGACTGTGTGTATGTTTGTGTGTGTGTATTTAGCGGACTGTGTGTATGTTTTTAGCAGGTTGTCCGTGTGTCGGTGTGTGTATGTATTAAGCAGTTGGTGTGTGAATGCATTCAGCAGTGTGTGTATGTTTTGCATTTGTTGGAGATAATATTAAATATAAGCTTAATTTTATCTATTTATATCATTATTTAAAATTTGTATCATTGAACTCTCTGTTGTGTTCTTCTTTTAAAACAAAAGATGTTAATTAGTTCGGACAACTGTACGAGTTGTTTTTTTCTAAACTTAAACCTCAGTATTCAGGTTTAATTACCGTGTTGGCACTTTGAGGGAAAAAAGTTGACATGTATTGTGGTTTGGGCACTTGGGCTCAAAAAGGTTCGCCATCACTGCCATAAAACATTCATTCAATGAATTTTATCCAGACATGAGCAGAATTAACTTCACTACTACAATCATAACATTCAAAACTGTTTGATTACTTACTGATTGTACTCTGGGAACCATAACCACTAGAGCAGGCTTTAATGATTATGATTCTTAGACTGCCTTTTAGTAGATAGATCTAGCAAAGCTTTGCTAAATACTTACATAACATAGTGATATTTTGAATAAAGCATAATTAACTAAGAAAAACAATCTGCAGTTTAAATTAAATACAATTAAATAATATGGCTCCAGGTAACATGCATAAATCTCTTGGTACATGGCACAACTCTAATCTTTCATATGGACTCCATATTGATACACTATAATCCAAACATTGGCCTCAAATTTAATATTTTTTGGATAAACTTTTAAGTGATTTCTCTACACAATTTCCAATTTGGTTAAGCACTAAACATTTGTTTACAATTTTAGAGCATTAAATCTAAATTGCAAAACCTTGGCTAAAATAAAATCATAAGCTGTGACTAAAGCTGGGTTGGACTTTTGTTCTAGATCTTTAAATGTGGCATTCATTTTGCCACTCAAAATTAATTTGCTAAAATAAATAACCCTAATACTATTGTCCTTCTTAAATGGGCACTATAGTCACCAAAACAACTTTAGCTTAACAAAACCGTTTTGATGCATAGATCATGCCTCTGCAGTCTCACTGCTCAATTCTCTGCCATTTAGGAGTTAAATCACGTTGTTTATGCAGTCCTAGTCACACCTCCCTGCATGTGACTTCCACAGCCTTCCAAAACACTTCCTGTAAAGAGTCATCTAATCGAATTTCTTATCTCCTGCTCTGTTAATAGCCTGCAAGACCAATCAGAAGCCCCCTGCATGTTGTAAAAACTCAATTTACAGGGTAGGAGATAAAAACTTTTAAAGTTACATCTGATTGAAAAGGAAACCTTATTTTTATGCATACTGTGTCAGTCACAGCCAGAGGATGTGTGCCTAAGGCTGCATAAACAGAAATAAAAGTAATTTAACTCCTAAATGGCAGTATATTGAGCAGTGAAACTTCAGAGACATGAGCTATATACAAGTACTGCTTCTTTAAAATACAGTTGTATTTGTGACTATAGTGTCCCTTCCACAAGTAGCTGGTTGAGCAGAATTCTCCCAGAGAGCTCTACAACAACACAGTAACCTTCTGGAAAAGTTATACATTCCACCAGTTGAAATTATTGAAAAAGTTTTTCCACTTCTTACCATTCATTAAATCATCTGTGTCATAACTGATATTGTTGGTTTGATTTTTGCAAGTATGCCTAAGGACATAAATGAAAACATAATTAAAATCAAAAATATGAATGTATTTTTGATATAACTATATCATAATATAAAGTCAATAAACAAATATCAGTAACTCGAACACTGCAATTTCACATTACCTGAATTAACCAAATCAGAATGATGAATGTTTCTAGATTGGTTCAGATAATTACCTCAAATCTAGGACTTTTCTCAAGCACATTAAACTGCAGTGCTCCAAACGTGACATGGTACGTTTTTTTTTTTTTTTTAATCATGCCCCCACTGCACTGATTTACTAAATCTTGCCCACACAATGCTCTATCCAATTATGTGTTCCCATTGAGATGTTGTCAGGATTATAGTTGATCCAGGTCGCAGAATAGTATCGCACCTAGGACTAAGGATAACGTCTAAGCGGACCTTAGAATGGCTGGACGTAACGTACCGCAGAATAGTCAAAATACTTGCCGAGGTCAGAGACACAGAATAAGACACAACGATGAGGAAAGCCAGAAGTCAAGGATACCAGAAATCAGGTAGGCCAAAACAAAGCCAATGTCAAATACCAGAAAAACGCTATCAGGAACACACTCTCAGATAACCAGCCAGTGGAAACCACGACAGGGCACTGACAAAAAAGTAATTTGGGTTTAAATAACACTCCTTTGGCTGTAATTGGCTGTCTCTGACTTCTGACCCCAAAACGTACGTCGGCACCATCTTTGATGTGGGCGAAGGCAAGTTTCTTATAAAAGCCCGATCCGCAGCGGCCGGCATTCCAAAGAACGTTGCACCTGTTGGGGACTGGAACAGACGGAGCTGCCCGGCGAGCCCAAGGTACGTTTGAAACATCTTTGATGGCGTGGCTGGTTAGTTTGAGTGCAGCCACACTGGCAGAGATGCCAGGACCCATGACAGATGTTGCTTGCCAAACTTTGAAAACCCTTTCATTGTAAATAACAGAATTAAAACGAGGAGGGCAGGAGCAGAGATGAGCAGGCTCTGTCAGCTCTATTTTACAGGGGAGGCGGGTTCTGAAACTTGCCACGGGCCAGTGTGGATATAACATCTTGATTGAGACAAAAAATTGGATTTGACACCAGAACCAGCCAAGGCAGCATGGGTGTGTGCTAATAGAAAGCGCTAGTCCTGTTGTCCAGGATATAGTTATCTCATCACGTGATTTAGCAGATCGTACCCATGAGTTAACTGTATCGTGCCCACAAATTAGCTAAACCATGAGCACACATTAACTAGCTCTTGGGCATGATCTACTAAATTGTGATCACGAGATACTATATCATGCCCACAATTAAAAAAAACAAAAAAACTTTACCATGTCACCTCCGGGACACCAATGTGAGGGAAACTGGAGAGAGAAAATAACTGGTATGCATACAGTTGTTTTTTTCGATAAGATAAAATAAATGGCAATCAGACCTGCTACGTGGATCTGGTGTGCCACATGCATATATTTTAATAATGAGATTTTCACTTTGATGTTTTATGTTTTGTGAGATTACTGCTTGTTTGATCGTTTTATTATATTTAAATGTCAGCCTCTCTCACTCTTTCACCAGCTTTGCTTTTATGAGAAGTGGACACAAAGTGTTAAAAATCCTGTTGCACTCAGTGCACACATTCCTCACTGCTCTTGTAGCTGAACTGGAAAGGTAAGATTGAGGGAACGCCTTAACCTGCTACAGCATTAAATTTTCCTCTTGAAATACAAACTTACACTGGAACAGTCAAGGCTAGAGTCACGCTGCCCTTGACTCTACTTTTGAGGTATGTACTAATTTCCTGCACCCGTACTGACCATGACAATGACCTTTCAATTGATATGTCTGGCGGTGTATTGTGCTAGAATTCTGAAAGGTCATATTTTGCAAATGGAAATAATCAATGTTAATTTATCATAGAATTCTGTCAGCATTGCATTTTATCCTAATCCAAATCTTTGAAGTCTGCCGAAAGTATAATAGAGATCAGAGGATCTTCTACATAGTTGCATTACCTTACTTAAAGTATTTATTTTACCAACCTCAGAGAGGTGAAGGGCTGAATTTACTTGGTTGGAAATTTGAACCTGTGATTCAGATACTGTGGCAGGAGCCCTATGCGCTGGTTCACGAGTCTTAGTGGGTGTAGCTGTAACAAGAAGCAATAGTCCTGTGGTGTCCAACGTTTTTCTTATGTTTTAAGTTTTTTAATCAAACAGTCTGCTGATTAGAAAACCTACTGAAATATGGAATGTTTAGTATAAGCAGAGCTCTATAGAACATTCCTTGTAGGCACAAAATCTTTAAAGAGCAGATTATAATGATGGATTTTCATTCCCACGCGTGTGTCAAACACATCAGTAAAGAGATGTTATGTTCTGGACCAGGGATGCCCAAAAGGTAGATCCCCTGGTGTTGTAGAACTACAACTCCCACAATGCTTTTCATGCATTTGAAATGTCTTTAGAATGGCAAAGCATCATGGGAGCTGTAGTTTGAAAACATCTGGGGATCTACCTTTTGGGCACCCCTCTTCTAGACCATAGTCTAATAGGGTTATTTACTAAAGTGAGCATTTAAAGTGAATTTCAACTTTCAGGCCAGAGTAAATGAAGTAAATGCATACCTGGTTTAGAGAATTTTTTTCAAATTCATTTTGAATTCACTTTGAATTCTCACTTTAGTGAATAACCCTGTAACTAGTGCTTTTTTTCTGTGAAACTCCACAATCCTAAGAAGGAATAGATCTCACCTCAATTCTCTTTGTTTTCTGCCCAGAAGTGTTACTTCAGTGGCCTCTTACTTACCCCATTTACAGACAGGGTCATCTTTAACGTGGGCAAAAGGGCACTGTCATCCTAGGGGGCCCAAAGCAGCTGCCCCTTCAGCCTGCCGGCCACCATAGTGCATGTGGCCCGAATGGAACTACCACCGTAGGCCACACGTTGAGGAGGCAATGTATTTTCGGGGGCCCAGTCAGCACTGTGGCCCTTTAAGAGTGCGACCGGGCCTCCTGTGGTGATGCCACAATGCTTGGAGGAGGTCACTGCCTCCCAGCATTCACCGAGCGCCGCGCAGGAGGAGAAGAAGGGAGGAGGGAGTCAGAGCTCACACTCATTGGCCTGAGGCCTGGACCTCAGGGGAGTCACCTCCTGCACCTGAAAAGTAGGACTCAGGAGGGTGACTAAAGAATGTACATTTTGCATGTTTTAGGTGTATCTGTTTGTATGTGTGTCTGTATGTGTATCTGTTTTTGTGTGCCTGTTTGTATGTGTATCTGCATGTGTGTATGTATCTATGTGATTGTGTTTGTGTGTCCATTTATGTATCTGTTTGTCTGTATGTTTATCTGTGTGTGTATTTGTCTGTATGTGTATCTGTGTGTTTGTATTTGTATCTGTGTGTGTAAATGTTTGTATGTGTGTCAGTGTGTGTATCTAAATGTGTATCATTCTGTGTGTCTGTTTATCTGCATGTGTGTCAGTGTGTGTGTCTCAAGGGGAGAAGCTATCCACACACACATAACATAAAGGCAAAAAAGTAACGCAAGCTATCACACTAGATGCAGATATGGAATAAGAGTAGAGCAGAGAGACACGAACCCCAAATTGGGGGACACACAACAAACACACAAACCACGTAGCACACAAAGAGGCAACACCCACAAGAAACGCACACTGGGCAACCAACTGAAACATAGCAACAACAAAGAAATGAACAACTAAGAAGACTCGAAACAAGTGACAAGATATACAGACAGAGCAGACACGTCACCACACAATAGGACTACGAGCACAAAACAAAACACTACATCAGACCCACTTACACTAATGCTAACATAAACTGACGGACACCAGCAAACAGACACATGGCTTGACAGAATACTGGGCCAAGGAGACGGAGATTACTAAAAACGAAACAGGGAGAAAAACACCAGGGGATATTTCACCCCTTCCATGGTAAAGGGCCTAAGCGACACGGGAGTACGCAATCAAGCAGCCAAACTAAAAGGGGTAGCATAGGCACACCATGGACTGAACAGGGATCGACACTATAGCAACATACTGAGTGGATGGCATAGGCCACACAAAACAATAACCCAAGCACCCCCAGACATCGGCATAACATTCTAATACACCACGGGCCTCACGTAGGCTAAGGTCCATAACCAATAGGAAAAAGTAATAACTCGCACGTGACCTGTGAGCCTAAAAACCGCACCAAACTAAGGGTAACTGAACGCCCACACACTTCCGAAAAAGCTTGACACATAAACAGCACCAGAGGTATTGAACAGATACTTGTGAGTCTCGCGCTTTGACGCCCACGATTAAGTCTAAGTCTATGTAAACAGTAAGAATTGGCGAAGTTAAAAATCATATGTACAAAACTAAATATTATAAGGGACCTGCGTGTCCGTCAACATAGTGGGCCTGCGAGCCCGAGCGCATACCCACATGCTCTGCTACCAACGCTAATGCATGTTGTTCAAACTGTTATTGTAAAATGTAGTTTGGAACGATAATGTTAAATCTTCTTTATTCCCTTTTGTCTTCAGTTGATTGATATATACGTCTTTTGTATATATAGTCTTGGACCAAATTTGCTCGCCACATTAACATATGTCCATATTAATGAAAAGTACTAATACGCAATCTGACTTACGGTTTCTTCAGGTTTATTCTTAGTTACTGATATATAATAAAACAACAAAGGCTGTTACAGGATAATGGATTTTAACAGCAGATGGTAATTGCTGGACTCCTGAAGGGAGAGTTACATCGTTGTACAGAAAAGAGAGCCAAGAGAGACCTTGTGTCTCTTTGTTCAGTTACTATATAGAAGTGCCCATACTGACGTCAGACTATAACTCTAGCCATATAAGGACAAGACCCCCAAATCCACATTCCAGAGCTCTCAGACAAAGAAAGCCTTGTGACTTAGACCATCTGTTACTTATGTCAATTCACACATCCATATATAATCAATAGAAACATAGAATATGCAATATTCTACAGTTATCAAACTCAACATGTCTTCTGAGACCTGCGAGTCCCACTATTACTTAACTTTGACAACACAAATAAATACCATATTTACAAAAGCACTTCTTTATTATCACTGATAACAAAATAAAAACAAAAAGAAACAATTGAACAGAATAAATTCTAGAGTCGAAATATATTTCGGAACTCTACATTCTAACACCCAATAAGTTCATATGATGGACTTTGCCATTGCACACAGGGCCGGCGCTACCTGTAAGGCGACCTAGGCAGCCGCCTAGGGTGCAACTTAGCAGGGGGCGCCGGATCCCTGCACCAGGAATCACCGGTGCAGCTCATCCGGCGCAGCACTGCTGTATGGAGGGCGGTCGGATTTGAGTGACTGGCAGAAGGGAAGCGCAGAGCGCTCCCTCCTGCCGGTCTCTCAATGTAGCGTGGCCGGGCGGCGTGGAACGCGGGACAGGAACCTCTGTTTCCTGTACCCGGCCGCCGGCCGACTGACAGGAAGTGCTCACTTCCTGTCAGTCCGCTGGTGGCCGAGTACAGGAAACAGAGGTTCCTGTCCCGCGTTCTGCGCCGCCCAGCCACGCTACATTGGCAGGAGGGAAGAGGAGGGTAAGGACCACTAGGGGAATAGGGAGGGGGGATTAAGGACCACGGAGGGAGGGGGGACTAAGGACCATGGGAGGTGGGGACTAGGGCCACTGGGGAGAAGGGGACACTAAGGACCACTGGGGAGGAGGAGGGAGGGGGACTAAGGACAACTGGGGGAGTAAGGACCACTGGGGGAGGAGGGGAAGTAAGGACCACTGGGGGGGAGGGAGAAGAAGGACCACTGGGAAGGGGAGACTAAGGACCACTGCGAGGAGGGACTAAGGACCACTGGGGTAGGAGGAGCAGGGGGACTAAGGACCACCTGGGAGGAGGAGGGGACTAAGGACCACTGGGGGAGGAGGAGGGACACTAAGGATCACTGGGGAGGAGGGGGACACTAAGGACCACTGGGGGAGGAGTAAGGACCACTGGGGGAGGAGGGGGGGTAAGGACCACTGAAGGAGGAGGGGGGAAGGTCCACTAGGGGTTTGCCAGAGGGAGGACCACTAAGGGGGGGGGAAGAGGGGAAGGACCACCAAAGGGGAGGGAGGGAGGACCACTAAGAGGGAGAAGGGGGAGTGAGAAGACCACCAAGGGGGGACTGCAGAGGGACAGGGGGCCAAGGGAGAGCACTAAGGGACAGAAAGGGAGAACACTAATTGACAGGAGGGGTGAGCACTATGAAATTTTTTTAACAAAATAAAGAGCTGCTCCCCTCTCAGTCCCTATCCTACCCCACAAACCCTCTCTTTTACACTACACACATACACAATTCATCCCCACACACACACACACCCAGAAACATACAATGCATCCTTACTCACACACAGACACACCCGAAACACACAATGCATCCCTTACGCTCACACAAACACTCATTCTCTTACACACAGAAACAAAATGCATTTATTACACACTCAATGAACCCCTTACAGACACACACTGCATTCAATTACAAACACAGCAACACACCTTGTATCCCTTACACACACACACCCAGAAACATACAATGCATTCCTTACATGCAAACACACACTGCATCCACTATTCACACACCACATCCCTTACACAAATTGGTATCCCTATACACTACATTCTATAAGAACACACACACATTGCATCCTCTACAATAACACATAAAACATCCCCTACACACATACACTCCACTACCTGTGAGAGAACTCATGGGTGGGCTGTGTAGGTGGATTTATGGGTGGGCATTGTAGGCATACTCACGGTAAAGCACTGGGGGCCCAGAACTTGAGCTGTGTAAGGGGCCCTAAAAATGGCGCTGCTTCCTGTTCTACACCAGACCTTTGGAGCCAGACTGAGCCCATCATCAGCCTCTTGTCCTCATCTGGTGGTAAGTAGGCAATCCAATATATTATTAGTGGCACTAATCTCTAATTTACCTCACATTAAATGGATACTATAGTCACCAGAAGGACTACAGCTTAATGTAATGGTTCTGGTGTCTATAGCCTGTGCCTGTAGGCTTTTTAATGTAAACACTCTGTCTTTTCCGATAAAAGACACTTTGTGAAGATTGGCGTTGGCCCATAAGGCAGAGCATATGGGCGGGGCATTATGATGTCACATGGTGGGCGGAACATATGGGGGGGACGGCAAAAAATTTTTTTGCCTAGGGCGGCAAAAATCCTTGCAACGGCCCTGATTGCACAGTTAGTGTTCCATCAAACAATAGTTATTAAGTATGACCGTTTGAGTCCAGAGATCTAGGCTAGATACCCTGGCAGGATAATTTACTATAGTGTAAAGTGCGAAGGATTCAATGCGAATTTCAAAGGTTATTCCTTAATAGCCAAATTGAGTTATGACTGACTGAGAATTTTCACAATTCTGCCATTTGGTCGTGAAATATGACGTTCTCTTTGAATTCCAAACCATTGACACCCCATGGATTGTTAAAATACCAAGTAGAAAAGAGCTGTTTACTGAACATGTTGGATATTGGAAGGCTAAGCATGGTGTAGTCACCCATGTTATTTTAAAACTTGGTAAAGTGTGAGCTTCCTGGTCAACTGGTCTTAAATGAGAGTAATGGAGATGCCATTGTGACGGAACGCTGGCACTCCGACTGAGTACCTCCGCCAATCCATGCTCCTAGCGCTTGCCGAGGACTCCAAGCACTCTAACCGACACCATCAGCACTGCAGACCCCAATTCCAGCGATACAGCTGCGCCGGGGTCTCGCTGTTTTCACCCACCCTGGATCCACAACCAGGATCCAGCTCCCAGTGGGTGAACCTCTCCTAAATCCAGAGAGCGTAGCAGGGACAAATCAAGCTATTGCAAGAGCTTACTCTGGGGAGTAAGTGATTATAGCAATCCCCAGAGTGTAGGTATCCCTTCCCCCAAACATGAGCCAAGGCTTCAAGAAAGGTACAAGATGATCTGTTTTTAATGACCACACACTGGCTTTTATGCAAGTCCCCATGCAAGGGGACATCCCACAGGTTGGGACCCAGTATAACCAATCACAGACAATACAAACAAAACACTCCCACAGTGACATCACAATCCCTCCTCTCTATCCTGGAGATAATTGGAAAGTAATCAAATTTTCTCCCAGGACAGAGGCAAGACTCCATTAACCACATGGTTACAAAAAGACATAAAATTACACAATGTTACAATTACTATATAAAACATATACATGCAACATATCCCCAGATAGCTTAGATCTGAGTGCACATTATTATTGAATGGAGCTCAGATCACATACATACAATTCAATCGCCATGGAGCCAAAGTCTTTTCCATAGTCTTTTGTTACACAAATAGGCTCCATGGCATAGCTATCTGGGATGGCACTACTACCATACTGATAGTCCAGAACGCCCCAGCAGAAATACACAAATAAACCTTTCTGCAGGGGAAAATACCACTATCAGCACATGGGCCATAGTCGGAAGGCAGGAGTCTAGCCAGTAGTCCCCTCCAGGCACAAGTGGCGAAGGGCACTTCGTCACAGCCATGCTGTTTTTTTAGAAGACTAGGAAGTGGTTCAGACATCACCATGTCCCCCAACAGTGCCGTTTTTGAGGCAGGACCCAAAAATTTAAACTGTCCCACTGTCCCAAATTTGTTCAGGGAACTGTCCTCAAAAAGTGTAGTGCAAGCACCTCATTAGATATGTTCATGATACATCTAGACCTCTAGGGTCCTGCAGAGATTGCATCACTGTCCCACAGCATTTACCACCCCCAGTCTCAATGCAGTGAGTGGAGTTACAGTCCACAATATTAATAGCAAGTTCTCTAAGTTTGATTGTAAGCTGCTTTCTGCTATCTGGAGATACACGTGTCTCTAACATTTCACTGCAGTATTCAGTCTAGAGAACATGATTGATTGCTGAATTATAATGAGATATCACATGCAGGCCATCGTTATTTTACACATCAACTGATATCTGCCTAGGCACGTCAGGTTAACCATCTTCTAACTCTGACAGAGTTAGTCACTAAAGTGAGAATTGTCAGGAGTTCAAAGATAAGTCAAATCAAATTTTTAATTCAAGGACAGAGTAGGAATACTGACTTGGAGACATTTTTCTAGCTCAGCTATTTTGGCTTTAAAATTGAAATTCACTTTGATTTCATGGCAATTGTCACTTTAGTGAATAATTCTGCACGTAACTTTTCAGGTGATTTGGCTTGCCATTTGTTTTTTGTCATTTACTGTATACTACTTACTAATACACTGAACCTGACCTCGACTTGACATGTGAGACTATATCATGTATTTACTGGAGCCCAGGTGCAAAGGATGAACAAAGAGAGAGCAGAGCACCTTGTATATTTTTCTGGTTTTCAGTATTTTTAATATTCGGTTATTGTGTTACCACATATTAAAGGAAACATTTAGGCACCATAAACACATTAAAATGTGTGGCACATTCCCACTGTTCAGTGTCAAACGTTTTTAACAGTTTAACACTGAATGCAGGTCTCTGGCTGATTGGGGTAATTCTTACATATTAGTCTGAGCTTCAGGCCATTGAGAGCTTCAGGTCATTGTTCTCAGCCTATAACTGTCACCTCATGCTTGCTTGATTTGTTTGGCTAATATGTAGTTAAAGTCTTCTTAATCCATACTTCCAGCTGGGGGCACAGCTGAGGGCAGACAGGGAGCCTCATGCTAAGTTAAATAATCTATAAAAATGTTTTCAGACTGTAATGTGCACTGCTACAGGGGACTCCAGGCACCATAACCACTTCAATTACATCCGTTGGTTATTGTGCTTAGAGTACCCCTTTGACTTTTGCTATTACTGACTGATTTTTAGCTTAATTCTTGATTATCCATAATTCTGATATCCTGACCTCAACAGTTAATATTTATTACACTGTGAGTACTCATATGTCCTTTCTTTTCACCTCTGTGGTTTATTTATGTGTTGCTACCCTTGTCATCATGTTCTATCTCAGTAGCTTTAGACCTTTTCTCAGTGAGTAAGGGTTGTAGTGTTCCTGATATCCATAAAATGGCATTTTGAAAATCAGCAAATCTTAACTTACTCCCCAATTGCTAATTAATTACTAGAGAATACATCAGGACTGTGTATACTTAAGCTGTTGTGTTGTTTAGTAGATATCCCTAAAAAAACACATGCATGCATTTAATTATTTTCACAGACTTCCCAACTCAGCTCAATGAGAGGTATTTGCAAGGCAGGTGTTCTGGGCAATCACGGCCTCTTGAGTTTAGTTCAACAGTTGTCTGATTGACAGTCAAGGGGGTTTAACCAGATTAATCTATAAAAGTGCCAATTTCTATTGAAATCTGCACTTTTGTGAAATGACAAAAAGTTGACAAACTTTTCACACATAGAGCACTTCAGCAAACTAAAGTGTTTTAGGTTTATGGTGTGTTACTTTAAGTGTTAAAAAGAAATCATATAGCTATAGGGAAATTGGTGAACTTAATTATATAGATATGGCTACCCAATTTAGGAGTACTCTAAAAAATTGGAAGGGATTGGAATTATCCTGGCTGGGAAGAATCGAAGCGGTAAACTCCTATTTACTCCCCAAATTGACATTTTTATTTTGTAACCTCCCGTTGAGGGTCTCATTCCAGACGATACGCGGTTTTCAAAAACAGGTTTCGGATTATATATGGCAAGACAGGAGACCTAGAGTATCACTGGAAATTCTTCAGAGAGATTGGAAGGAAGGGGGAATCTCTTTCCCAGATATACAGAAACTATATATGAACAATATGGTAGCACATCTAATTAAATGTGACAATTTTGCAATTTCAAGACCAGTCTGGTTAGATATTGAAAAATCGGATTTTTGTAATATTGAACCTTTATTTCTCTGGTGGTGCGACAGTGAATTTGTAAAAAATATAAGGCCTAGTAACCCGATGAATAACACAATGATCTATATTGTAAAATACTTAAAGAAAAAATATGGAACTAAACATATATCAAGAAACGCCCCATTAATATGTCTAAAACTTTATACAAAAAATATAAATATTCAAGAATGGGAAAAGTGTGGAATTGTAAAAATTGCGGAGCTTCTAAATGATAATAAAATATTGTTAATAGTAACGTTACAGTTCAATTATAACCTCCCTTCGAAGGAAATATTTAATTACTTAAGAATAAAATCTTTTATTATGGGAAACGTTTTTTCGGAAACACCTCCATTTGACCAGTTTGTAGCATTTCATTATAAAAAAAAAATCGCATCCAGATTTAATCAATTTACAAGAAGCCAAAGGCAAACAGTTAAAGCCTTGGCAATGAATAAATGGGAGCAGGAACTCCACTCTTCATCCTCGGTTGAAGATTGGATTTCGGGCCTACAATCAGTAAAAAGATATATACATGGGATGAATATACAGGAAGTGTACTTTAAACTGGTATATCGTTGGTACTTGGTGCCCACTCGCCTCCATAGATTTCAACCCACACTTCTACCAGATTGTTGGAGATGTGGTAGGGAGTTAGGTTCATTCTCCCACATCTGGTGGGACTGTGAGGAGTTGAAATCTATGAAAATAACTTTATCGGACTTGGTGGATTCCATTTTGAAGGTCCAAACTGTTATTACGGCTCAAATGTTCCTGTTCCATTTAGATTTGCCAAAAATTAATATAAAACAAAAAATTCTTATGATTCATTCCTTTATGGCAATAAAAATAGTTATGGCCAGAAATTGGAGAAATATGGTTTCGTTAAACTGGCATGATATATGTATACAAATAGATTATCAATGTAGGATGGAAGCTGGGTTAGCCTCAAATAAGTTATCCAGAGAGAAATATGATGAAACTTGGGCCCCCTGGGTTAGATATCTTAGCTGTAAAAACTCAACTCCCCTCCCACAGATAGCCATTCTTAGGTAGCACCAATGTGAAATTGTAAGATTGTAAGAAAGAGGAATTGTATGTTATTTTCTCTTTTTTTGGTTTGAATGTAGTCAATCTAGACAATGTTTAAGTGTATGAAATATGGTTATACTAAAGTTATGTATAATTACATAATTTATTGTAAAGGAATATATTGTACCATATTGTAAAATGTATTTATGAAAATGCGTTTGGACGAAATTTTTAAAATGAAAAATAAAAATTTATATAAAGAAAAAAAAAAAAGAAATCATATAGCTGAAGGTGCGTAAAGCAGGTGCACTGCTGTGCCTGTATTTGTACATATCTGTGTGGGTCTCTGTCTGCCAGTCTGTATCTGTGTTTGTAACTGTGTGTGTGGCAAGAGTTGTGTTAAGGGCTGGAGTTTGGGGAGGGGCTAAGGGAAACCCCTTAGCCCCTCCCCAAACTCCAGCCCTTAACACAACTCTTGCCACAGTGGTCACCAAATTATATTTTGGCTTAACCCCTGGGTGTTTTCTGACCATAGCAATGCCCTTGGGGTACAGGAATACTGAAGGAAGGAGGATAGTTTGTTTAGCTAGTGAGTAAGAATGTTTTTTTTTCCCTCTCAAATTGTATTGCCCTCAATGAACTGTTATGTAGCAGACCTCTCCCTCCATTCAATCTTTCGCTCACAGAGTGGATTAATATTAAGATTGATTGTTTATGTAAGTAAATATACTGATTCATTTAAACCCCTGCAATGCAAACAGTCTGAGCATATACATATATATATATATGAAGAGTTAGGTTGGTATTACACACGTTTAGCTTAACAGCCTGCTGTGGTTAATGTTTGCAACATTCTGGAGGGTCTCCTATTCTATTTGGTGTGGAGCATACAGATAGCAGACAGCAAAACAACAGGATGAATTTAGAAGGAAAAACAAAAAAGTTTAAACATGTTTTATTGATCAACAAAGCTTGGGCGTAAAACCTGTAATTTATATAAAACAACAAAACCCATAAAAAATACTTTAAAGTGAAAATGCTTCCCCTTAATTGTGTTTGACTGTCAGGGCATCATCACCTACAGATGGCCCTCCTCAATAAAAAAAAAAAAATCCACCTCTTCCTCTGTCCAATCTAAATTAACGATATGCTTCAATATTGTTTCATGTAAAATACATGAATCACATAGAATTTCTATAATTTTAGATTTTACAGTAGACTGTAGCATTAACACTACTGCAGTATCATTATTGATTTAGCTAACTTCTGTATAAACCTACTTCTAAGTTACCAACTGTTCTCGTTATTGCACAGCACATGCGTTTATGAGACTCCTTATTGGAATGTTGTGCTTCTGTCCTGAGGATAACAACACGTGTTAGAAGCAATGGCCATGAGGCATTTCATATATCTCGTATAAAAACATTAAATACATATTTGTTTCAAAGCTCCAGGCGCTTTAACTGAACCTCCTAATAAAGCACAGTTTCTATATTTGTTACTTATTTTGAAACATCAGGCAGTCAGCAGGGTAAATATGAAATACTTTGCATCTGTTATTTTCATATAGTGAGAAGGTGAAAAAAATTCTATTATGTGACAGGTGGCGTTATTGACAGTGACTGCTCTGGTCTCAATGCAGTTTCCAGCTCAGGGATAGACAACTTTCATCACTCCAGATGTTAGGGACTGCATCTCCCCTGATGCTTTGTCAGCATTGTGACTGTGATACAGGCTTTCCCAAAACTCCGGCCCTCCAGATGTTGCTGAACTACAACTCCCATGATTCTCAGCCAGGGGCGTCTCTAAGATTCATTTTTAGGGGGGGCACATGGTGGGCCAGGGACAAAAGTAGGGGGGCACATTTAACCCCGCCCTTGCCGCGGTTAGACCCCGCCCCTGCAGCATGTTAAGCCCCGCCCCCGACACAATGTGCTGGGTTTTTTTTAATAATCCCTGGTGGAGGAGTCATTATTTACCACCAGGGATTAATAAAAAAAACAAACACATTTCCCTTGATACAGTGCCATAGTTGCCAACATTTGAAAAAAAATTCCAAAGACATTTTGCAGCACAGCTATCAATTACTGTCTGTGTATAATATCCCTGGACAGTCAGTGCTCTCTGTATAATACAGGGTTGTGTGTATAATAAATTGGGACAGTCACCGAAAAGGCTTTTGACAGGTTGCACTGGAATTTCCTCCGAGCAGTCCTGCAAAAATTTGACTTCCCACCCGCATTTCAAGGCCTAATCTCAGCACTTTACTCTACACCTGCCGCCCAAATAATGAAGAGAGACTTTGTGTCCCAACCCTTTGAATTCACAAACGGCACCGTCAAGGATGCACACTATCCCCAATACTCTATATCCTCGCCCTTGAACCACTAGCACAATCCATTAGGGACAACGTAATGATTAAAGGGGTACGTATAGCAGACAAAGAATACAAAATTACCATGTTTGCTGATGATGTCATGCTCTCGTTTACTGACCCGATAGTTTATTTCCCGGCTCTCCATACCACTCTGAAACAATATAGTGATTGCTCGTATTATAAATTGAACACCCCCCCTTGACTAGTGTCTCTGACTGCCTCTCTGCTGTTTCTAACTGGAAGGCTGCCCACTTCCTTAAACTAAACTTGACCAAAACAGAAATTGTGGTCTTTCCTCCCTCAAGTGTTGTTACTCCCGTGTCTGTCTCCCTCCAAGTCAACAGTGCTACCATCAGCTGTGTGAGTGTGTGTCTGTAAGTGTGTGAGTGTGTGAGTGTGTCTGTAAGTGTGTGAGTGTGTCTGTGAGTGTATGGGTGTGTGTGTCTGTGAGTGTATGTGTGTCTGTGAGTGTATGTGTGTGTGTCTGAGTATGTGTGTGCACGCGTATATATGTGTGTGTCAGTGTGTGTGCGCACGCGTATATATATATATATATATATATATATATATATATATATATATATACACGTGTATATTTTTTTTGGGGGGGGTGGGAATCTTGGGAGAGTTCCCACACTTTATTCCCCAGGACTTCTCAGGGGGTGTCCGGATCTCCACTGTCGGCTCAAGCAGAGTCGGCGCTATCTGAGTGCCGGCTCTGCTCTAAGCCTCCATGGGCTAGTGGGGAGATCAAAGATCTACCTCACCAGCCCACAGCAGCATGGAGGGAGGCAGGAGAGGACCCAGGGAGCTCTAGACAGCAGCTCCGCCAGGTTCCTCTCACGTGATCTCAGCATTGCCATGGCAATGCTCAGATCTTGCAAGAGTTAACTATAGCCCCACAGGCTAGAGTTCACTCTCCACTGGACCACCAGGGATGGCACATGGCAGCAAGGATCCCCCCTCCCTACCAGTGGCGTCTCTAGGATTCATTTTTAGGGGGGGCACATGGAGGGCCAGGGACAAATGTAGGGGGGCACATTAAACCTCACCCTCACCGCAGTTTGACCCCGCCCCCTGTCGCATGTTAAGCCCTGCCCCCGACACAATGTGTTTTGTTTTTTTAATAATCCCTGGTGGAGGATTTATTATTTTACACCAGAGATTATTAAAAAAAACAAACACATTACCCTTGATACAGTGCCATAGTTGCCAACATTTGAAAAAAAAATTCCAATGACATTTTGCAGCACATCTATCAATTACTGTCTGGGTATAATATCCCTGGACAGTCAGTGCTATCTGTATAATAAAGGGTTGTGTGTATTGGGACACTCAGTGATCCCTGTATAGTGCTGCTCTCTGTATAATACAGGTCTGTTTGTGTATAATATCCCAAGACAGAGAGCAGCACTATACAGGGAGCACTGACTGTCCCGGGATATTATACAGGCACAGGCCTGTATTATACAGAGAGCAGCACTATACAGGAAGCACTGACTATCCCGGGATATTATATACACACAGATCTGTATTATACTTATAGCTGAGCATATACCCCATGTCTCAATCTCTAGACTACTATTACCTGTCAACAGCAGCTCCCAGACGCGTGTAACAGGGATAAAGTGTGCGGCAGCTCACACAGATGATTCACCGGTAAAGTGCACTCGCTGGCAGAGCCAAACTGGGAATCCCTGGGAATCCAAAGCAGCCCTGGAAAAAAAATGTATGCCATTCCTACAAGTCAATATATATATATATTACAGTAAGCACACAAGCTCACTGACATACGCAAATAGGCTTACTGACAGATAAAACTCTCTGACTCACACACAAGCTTACTACAGACAAACTCACTTTTATAAACAGAATTCTCACTAAAGACAAGCTCACTGACACACACATGCTCACTAAATAGAAGCTCACGGACACACACAAGCAGTACAATTTTAACAGAGTTAAGGGCCCCTGGGCAAAGCAATGCACTGGGGCCCTTCCTACACAACAACTCACAGGACTTTTAATTATTGATAGACTGCTGAGTCCAAACACACACACACACACACACACACACAGACTGCTGAGCCCATACACACACACAGACTGCTGAGTCCACACACACACACAGACTGCTGAGTCCACACACACACACACAGACTGCTGAGTCCACACACACACAGACTGCTGAGTCCACACACACACAAACTGCTGAGTCCATACACACACACAGACTGCTGAGTCCATACACACACACACAGACTCTGCTGAGTCCATACACACACACAGACTGCTGAGTCCATACACACGCACACAGACTGCTGAGTCCATGCACACGCACACAGACTGCTTAGTCCATGCACACACACACAGACTCTGCTGAGTCCATACACACACACACAGACTCTGCTGAGTCCATACACACACACACAGATTTTGCTGAGTCCATACACACACAGACTCTTCTGAGTCCATACACACGCACACAGACTCTGCTGAGTCCATGCAGTGTGTGTGTATGGGGGGCAGTGTGTGTGTATGGGGGGCAGCATGGGGGGCCGTATGTGTGTATGGGGGGGCAGTGTGTGTGTATGGGGGGCAGTATAGGTGCAGTGTGTGTGTATTCAATAAACTCCCTTTCTCACATCAAAGGACAGTGACCCCTGCCTTGCGCACAGAAATTAACCTATCCAACACAGGCTACAGACAATTAAGCTTCCTACATGGAGGTTAGATGTTAATCTAATATAATACAAGACACTACTGGTTTAGGAGTATAAGTAAGGATGTGGTCAAAAGTGGGCATTTCTGAGAAATTTTAGGTGACTTACTAATTTTAGGTGCCTCCCAACTTTTCAAATAAAATAGGACACTACTGATTTAAGAGTGTAAGTAAGGGTGTGGCCAAGAGTGGGCTTTTCTGGGAATCTTTAGGTGACTTACTAACAACAATTTGTGCAACTAATATGTAATTTAGAACAAGAACAATGCACCTTATTGACACAAACTAATTTCTAAACACATGTATTTTAGTTTAAAGTCATATTATCATGACTATTTTTGCTCTGTATCTCTGTAATATACTCAGACACACCAACAATATAGAGCTCCAAGAAAAGAAAAGCATTAGAGTGAAAGAGGGACAGAGGGATTTGGACCTAAATTAGGAACAGACCCTCCTAATTGGGATGACTTGTGACGTGTAGATAAACATTCATATATGCTTCAACATGCGGATTAAAACTCCTAGGCTACTAGGCAGGCATTATAATTTTCTTGCCACTACTACCAGAGTCCATGGTGTGCTCAGAAGAGTTGATTTCTATTTAGCCTAAAATTCCATCTTACACTATGACCTCCCTAACCTTAAAGGAAAACTTCCCACACATGCAGCACCTCTGTTACCATGGTGCCCTGTTCGACTGTACAGCTCGCATATCCCCAAGACCGGCCCTTCAAACTAATGATAATTAATAAGTCTCTCACATTAAATATTGAAACGTTGCTGCAATATTTGCTCTCTTATATGAGGCGTATGAAAATGATCTGGATACCAGTAAACTGATACTGAACATGCAGACTTTTATTAAAGGATCACTATAGGCACCCAGACCACTTCAGCTTTCTGGGTGCCAGGTCCAGCTAGGTTTAACCTTTTTTTCTATAAACATAGCAGTTTCAAAGAAACTGCTATGTTTATAATAGGGTTAATCCAGCCTCTAGTGGCTGTCTCATTGACAGCTGCTAGAGGCGCTTTGCGTGCTACTCACTGTGATTTTCACAGTGAGAAGACGCCAGCGTCCATAGGAAAGCATTGTGAATAGTGGTCCTTTAAGCTTGTGTAAACATACAGCAGGAATGCCGACCTTCAGCAGCAGACAGGAACTGGCAATAATGTTTGCATGTGGCGCAGTTATTTTGATTGACAGGTGTTAGTGACCAATGATAATGAAGCATGTATTTCTGACAGGTGATTGGTTTACAACAAATATAAAAGTACTACATACCCGTCACATATTTGTTTTTAAACAATATGAAAAGTACAACATTTTCACGTTTGATGACATAATAGACCAATGTAAGATGACATTGCTGAGTGAACAATATGAAAAGTACACCATTATCACATATTTGGTGAAAACAGATTAAGGTTATTAAACATCACATGTATAAACTAGTACCGTAAGAACCTATCAAACTGAGGATACTAGCATTCACTTTGCAAAATTTTAGGACTACAATAAACACGGTTAAATTGCGTGAATACAAATTTATATATGTATATTTGAGAACAGAGAAAATGGGGTAGAGAATCCACTCACAAAAAGTGGAACATCCAACCCATTCAGTAATACCTCATAATATAGAGTCACATAGATAGGGTAAAAAACCTTTATTAGAAAAATGCTAAAAAATAGTAATAATAATTGTTTTACAATTATTATTACTATTTTTTAGCATTGTGAGTGGATTCTCTACCCCATTTTCTCTGTTCTCATTATTGTAATTTTCTGGGGTTAAGCCCCTTATAACTCCTGTAACCTTCTCTGGGGCAGTGGTGGTGGTTTATTCCACTCCACAACCCCTTCTCTCTTTTTTTCATATGTAGAAAGGCCATTAGGCCTGAATTTGTGGGAGGAGTAAGTCCCCTACTTAAGCTCCCAGCCCCTACTCACCGCTGCCGCTCAGCTGATTGTCCTTAGCAACCAGCACTTCCGGTCCAGCTTCCCGCCAGAACTGTACCTGTTTCCAGCAGCCAGACGCCCTGTGCAATCCTCCGTCCGTCCGAGGCCCTTCCACTCCGTTTCCCTCCGGTCGAGGTACCCGACTTCCGGTCACGAGACCGGCGCGTTCACGTAAGCAAGGCGTGGGAATTAGCGTTCGCTTTTTCCCCGCCGTTCGGGCCTAAAAACGTAGGGGTAGGCTCCCTCTTTCGCATTTTCACGAATACACGCTTTCGTTTATATCTCCATTCGCGCCAAAAAACGCACGAACGTTCGGCTCATTTCGCTATCGTTTTACGCTTTTTCGTACGGAAACAACCGAATAAATATTTCATGTTTAAGCTCATTATTATCTGTATTCACTTTTCCGTTCGGTTATTTCAGCATCAACCTATTCGTATGGTTAATTCACGTACACCATCTTACTATTTACATTCGGTTATTTCTATTCTTTTAAGATAAGCTGGCATAAGTTCTAATCACAGTCCTACTATTATTTATTCCTTCATATGAGTTTGCGGTTACATTATATGGTTAACTACCAGCCCTGTGTTTTTCTACCTTGTTAAACCATTTAAAGTATTTTTCTGTTATAAACATTATGTTCACCACGGTTCTTAACTTCATACGTGTCTAAATTCAAGCTATAACACTCTTTACTAATAACACTCAGATAAGTCTTTTTAAACACTATTTACAAGTTATACCCTTTACACATAATCCGTACTATTCCTTGCACATAAATCACGCTGTCACATCTTTTGGCTTTTACAGATTGCATCGGTCTCATGCTTTTCTGCATTAAAGTTGTTATTTCAAGGTCCTTTTATTACAGGAACAGGTATGGTTTTTTATCACCTTGAGTTATCAGGTTTTATCAATTATCTTCTCATCTATTGCTAACTATGGTATTTTCTTGGTTAAACCCTTAGATCCTTGTATTAATCTAAGCTTCCACCGTTTCTACGCAGTTAACCTGCCACGATTAAACAAGCTCTGTACTTTAAACAAAGGTATAGTTCACTCTCTTTTCAATACTAGACCTCACGTGGTCTCAACTCCATTACTACCTTCCCTCAGGCTTACGCCCAGGATACGTTATCTCTTTACTACTTGTCTACACAGACTTTCGGTCATACAGCCACCAGGCTCAAGAAGACACCAAATCCTGACACGGTACTCAGCCATACCTTCAGGTACTTACATCCTTACTCAAGTACGTCCATTCGCTACCCCAAGGCCTCATTCTGCCTTCTCACTCATATCCAAAATCATCTCATTCCTACACCAAAACCTCCCAGATCCCTCAATGCAGGATCTCACGTCGTGCCCCTAACAAACCTTCTCCCTATACTATTCATACGACATCACAATACGTATAAACACATCAACATCTGTCTTAAACCCCCAGGATTCTTCCTCAAAGACAACATTTAAGACAAGACTCTCTACACTTACCAGGAGGCTCCAGATACCATTTGCGACCAGTCAAGGTTAGTATCCACACACCATTCCAGTCCTCTAACTTTACCCTTTAGCATACTATCGAACTGGCTATACGGCACAGGCTAATGCCTTAGCCCACCCTATCAGGAAATCTGATCCCGCGAGGCCTACCACCCCCACCCCACCTCAACACGGAGGTACGGCCCCACGCCCAAATCATAGTTATAAGCCTCGCATGCCTTACTATAGGGCTCTAGTTAGGGCCTCACCTGTCACGGCCACACGTTTTGATTTCTCTTATCGTCACCGAGAGGCCAACATCCCGCCACCACGTCTGTGGCACCTACGTCATAAGCCAAATCATAGGTAGAGCCTCTCATCGCCACTTGGCATTAGCAGGGCCTCACCTATCCAGTCATTCAATAGTTAAGTTTTTCGCCTCGGCATCTAGCATTAAAGTCCAGTTCTTCAAGACACACCACTCCCCATACCCCCCCCTTCTTACCTCACTCCCCTTCTAATATATCTTTCACATAATCATTCCTTTTAGAATGTCCCAAGAACCAATTCCAACCGAAGAACTGACAGAAGAAGCACCATTCACGCCAATCAGACCCGTGTCTCCAGGCGAATCACTCACTCTTTCAACCCCCACGTCCTTGAGAGCATGGACTATTCCCAAAATCACAGCCGAGCTTAGGCTCAGGGGAATCCCCTTTCCGGCCACAGCTAGAAAGGCAGAACTTTACAGGCTGCTTACCCACCAAGTCCCCGAGCCTCGGCCGGGAACTAGCTCTCAAGGACAACCACCAAGTAACAGCACGGCCACCCAGGATACCCTGGCAGATATCTTGGCCAATCTACAGGCCCTCAATAGCAGGCTGTCTAAGGTGGAGAGCGCCATCTCCTCCTCAGGTACTAACACCGTAGTCCCAGTCTCTACCACGGCTGTACCTGCCATACCTTCATGTCCCTCTATACTCCCCCCTCCAGCACCTGGCACAGCCATCACACCTTTCGAGTCACCAGCACACTCCGTCCCAGATTCTATCAGGAAAGATATCCTTGACGGGAAGGATGTGTGTCTGGTGTCTTTACTCATAGCCTCTCAGGATGTACTCGAGAACAAGGCATACAATTATGGTGACATCTCTGTTGTGCTTAAAACGAGGGATCCCAGGCTTAATAAAAATTGTCTATCCCACAGTTTGTGATAGCTTTCGGGATATACCGCGACGTCATTTGCACGGTGTATCCCCATAGGAGAGAAGAGCTAGATCTCTATCTCCACAAGGTAGTGGATCTAGGCATCAAGTACGGGGGCTCTTCCTTCTATGACTACCACAAGTCAGTCTCAGCGAAGGCGGCGACCCATCTCAAGCAGTTCAACATTAGAATGAACTGGGGTCAGATGGACACTGAACTTTTCTGTCGCCACTTCGCCGGACTCAGGCCCCCGGCTTGTGCCATCTGTAATTCCACATCCCACATGGCGGACTTATGTCCCGTCGAACCAGATCCCACCACCTCCACTCTCACCCCTCACCCCACGTTCACACCTCACTCCTCTTTCACCCCTCACAACAAGCCAGCGGGTGGTCTCCGGGATAAGCTGGGTAGGCCCATCTCCTTTTTAGGTAAAGCACAGGTGTGCAATAATTTCAACGCAGGCTCCTGCAGTTTCAGCGCCTGTAGATTATTGCACATCTGCTCCATATGTTTCAGGGCACATACCAAGACCATGTGTCCAGCCAGGTTGTCACCAAACAAATGACTAACCGACATAAATATCGACAACCTGGTTTTTTATCTAAGGTGTCACCCCAGCAGGCACTTAGTGGATTTTCTCACCACAGGTTTTTCACAAGGGTTTCACACAGGCATAATAGCCATTCCCCCAGGTACACTAGAATGTCCTAATCTCCAGTCTGCACGTTTAGACCCAGTCGCTGTAGACACTCTCATTTCCGCAGAAACCACAAACGGTTTCATGATCGGTCCTTTCACCTCTTCACCGTTTTCCTCCTGGCGCACTAACCCTATTGGTATTGCTATTCACAAATATTCTAATAAAAAACGTCTCATTATCGATTTATCGGCACCGCACTCCTCTTTTGTTCCAAGCATAAACGCACTCATTCCAGCAGACGAATTCTCTCTGCAGTACGTCACCATCGACGACGCTATACAGTCTATCATGACATCTGGTAATCGACCCTGGCTCAGCAAAACAGACATCACTAACGCCTTTAAATTACTGCCCATACACCCCTCACTCTGGCACTTACACGGTGTTAAATGGCGAGGGTATTATTACTTCTCAACACGACTCACTTTTGGTTCCCGAAGCAGCCCCAAACTTTTCGACATTTTCGCTGAGTCACTATGCTGGCTGCTTCTGAATGTCATCAGGTGTCACTCCGTTATTCACTATCTAGATGACTTTCTACTGATAGAGCCAGGGTCATCAACACCCACAGCAATCAATAGTACTACCGCACTTTTTTCCACACTTGGAGTCCCTTTGTCCCCAGCCAAAACTATAGGACCCACCACAAAGTTGACCTTTTTAGGCATAGAGCTCGATTCTGTCAAACTCAGAGCTAGCCTTCCACACGACAAACTTTCACGATTGAGAGGGGAGATAGACACGTTCCTGCGGAATGACGTTTGCACCAGGAGAGAACTTCAGTCCCTTCTTGGATCTCTGAACTTCGCCATGCGCATCATTCCGCAGGGAAGGTCTTTTATTTCCAGACTTCTTTGCCTGCTCCATGGAGTCCCGGACTCCGGCACAGTTTCTTTGGACCCCCACGCCAAGGCTGACTTGGCTATGTGGGGGAAGTTTTTGAAAGACTGGAATGGTATCTCCATGTTTATCCCCCCTCTCTCCACCTCTTCACCCATCATCCACACAGACGCAGCAGCCAACACCGGTTTCGCAGCCATTTTCGGGAACCACTGGTTTAGGGGCCACTGGCCCACTGAGACGGATGCCTTGCCAGGATTCAGGGAAACCTCAACCCTATTTGAAATTTACCCCATTGTGGCGGCCGCACACACCTGGGGTCATCTCTGGTCCGGCAAGGCAGTAAAATGCTACTCAGATAACTCGGCAGCTTGCGATATTATTAACAAAGGGCGCTCATCATCCCTAACCATCATGCGGCTGATTCGCAAGTTGACCTGGCTGGCAGCATCCAATCAGTTTCACTTAGTATGTTCTCATATCCCGGGTATTCACAACACCGCCGCTGACGCTCTTTCTCGTTCTCGATTCCAGGCATTTTCTCAGGCACTCCCAGCAGCTCACCATCAGCCATCCAGGACACCACGGTTTCACGAACTAATATTGGATTAAGCACACTCTTGCTTCACGCTAGATCACTCACTCACCAAGCATTATCACCCAACACTGCTATCACTTACAATAGGGCACTTAACATATTTAATAAATTCACTGCAGAATTCGGGCTACAAGGTGACTTTTCTATCCAAACCATGGTGTCTTTTGCCTCTTTCTGCCACCTACACCTTAATCTGTCACACAACACCATTAAACTTTACCTCACCGGGGTTCAGCACCACAGCCTCACCAATTTTCCTAACAGCACCCCCTTTTTGTCTTCATACCCCATAAAAAAGGTCTTGAAAGGTATATCTAAGGTTTCACCACCACTCGCAAGCACTAGATTACCCATAGACGGGCCTATCTTCAGGTCTCTTAGCAATCTCCTTGACACAGCCCCATTTGATAGCTACACCAATACGGTGATAAAATCTGCCATATATCTCGCTTTCTACGGTTTTCTCAGACCTAGAGAGTTCACAGTGATTTGTCAAGGAGATATCGCACAATGCCTTAAAACTTCACACCTCACCAAGGTAGAGGATCACTACCTCCTCTCTATCCCTACCACTAAAACCAACCGGTCAATACATCCTACAATAATTCCTCTCTTCCCTACTGATAATGCCTGGTGTCCGGTGAAAGTTCTCGACCAACTACGGTCTACTTTTCGCACTCACCTGCCAGACTCTCCGCTCTTAACATTACAAGGGCACCCGCTTACCACGGCAAAATTGATGTCACATGTCAGAACCCTGTTATCTAAGCTCGGACACAATCCGGCTGCATTCTCCGGGCACTCCTTCCGCATAGGAGCCGCCTCAGCAGCCTCAAGCACAAACGCACCGGTCCACATCATCAAAAGGCTCGGGCGATGGAAATCCTCCATATATAACGCATATATTCCGCAACCAGAGAAAGAGCTTCGCCAAGCTTTCAGAAACTTGGTCTTGTAAAATGCAATAAAGTGTGTATTTTCTCGAATTTATCTTTTTGCCCTCTTTTATTTACAGGCCCACTCGTACGTTGGTTTCGGCACACCACAACCAACTTTGCTCACAGTCACTATCCATCACGTATTTAAATTCCGAGCACAAGTAGAAAGGCCATTAGGCCTGAATTTGTGGGAGGAGTAAGTCCCCTACTTAAGCTCCCAGCCCCTACTCACCGCTGCCGCTCAGCTGATTGTCCCCACCCACCTACACCCTGTTTTAACTACATTATCCTTCGTGGGCCCTCTTTTATTTACAGGCCCACTTGTACGTTGGTTTCGGCACACCACAACCAACTTTGCTCACAGTCACTATCCATCACGTATTTAAATTCCGAGCACAAATATATATATATTTATTTATTTGCTTGATTATATTTATTTATAAAATATTTTACCAGGAAGGATACATTGAGATTTCTCTTGTTTTCAAGTATGTCCTGGGTCCACAAAACATTGCATTGATACAATAGGGTACAATAAAATACGAAAACAATATTAATACACAATATATACAAAATTTAACATAGAACAGGTAGGAAATATTTAACCCCTTAAGGACTGATCCAAATGTCCACATTGTGATCAAAACAAAACGTAAATAAAAACTTGAATTTGCGCTATATGTCTGTTCAGGCGTAATTCGCCTCTTTCATATTATGTGCACCCACACTTATTATATATTATTTATTTAGGGGAAACAGGGCTTTCTTTTAACATCAAATATTTAGGTATGAAACATAATTTAATATGAATAAAAAAAATGGGGAAAAAATAAGAATTTAAAATTTTTTCTTAGTTCTACGTGACATTCTAACTGTGAGTGTCATAATACTGTTTGTTTTTACTGCAATAAAATACACATATTTGTATTAAGCGATGTCTCACATTTAAAACAGTACCCCCTATGTACATGTTTTATGGTGTTTTGGGAAGTTGCAGGGTCAAATATAGCATGTTACATTTTTCTGTTTTTTTACATTAAAAAAATTCGCCATATTGGTTACGTTGCCTTTGAGACCGTATGGTAGCCCAGGAATGAGAATTACCCCCATGATGGCATACCATTTGCAAAAGTAGACAACCCAAGGAATTGCAAATGGGGTATGTCCAGTCTTTTTTAGTAGCCACTTGGTCACAAACACTGGCCAAACCTAGTGTTAATATTTGTTTGTGTGTGAAAAAAGCAAAAAACAAATTTGAACGCCAATTTTGGCCAGTGTTTGTGACTAAGTGGCTACTAAAAAAGACTGGACATCCCTCATTTGCAATACCTTGGGTTGTCTACTTTTGCAAATGGTATGCCATCATGGGGGTAATTTTCATTCCTGGGCTACCATACTGTCTCAAAGGCAACATAACCAACCTGGCGAATTTCAATGTGAAAAAACTGAAACGCAAGCCTTATATTTAAATCTGTAACTTTTGAAAACACCATGAAACCTGTACATGAGGGGTACTGTTATACTTGGGAGACTTCACTGAACACAAATATCAGTGTTTCAAAACAGTAAAACATATCACAACAATTATATCGTCTGTGTAAGTGCCATTTGTGTGTGAAAAATGCAAAAAATTTCACTTTTACTGACAATATCGTCGTTGTAATACATTTTACTGTTTTGAAACACTAATATTTGTGTTTTATGGTGTCTTGGAAAGTTACAGGGTTAAATATAGTGCTAGCAAATTAAATTCTCTGGACTTTTTGCCTGGGTTGTCAGGCAGGTCCCGCTAATTGTAATTAATAAAATGACCTAATTATGAAATTTTATCACATAAATATATACGTAGAATTATTATATATATTGGAAGGCATGGCCTGAAGTTGTGGGAGTGGCTATAGACCTATAAAAGGGACTCCTCACCCCCACCCCCCTTCCCTACTTACCTTTGTTGGTCAGACAAATAGACTGTTCAAGGTCAGCATTTGCATGAGATCCACTTCCAGGTCATACAAGACGCCATTTTGGTTTCACTTTTGCTCCATGACGTCTCCTACTCCAAGCTGTGTCCAGGAATCCTGCAGCAGGGCTTCCCGTTAATCAAGTGGCTTTCTCTCCGGTCAGCATCGCATTTGGTGTCTCAGGAACTCTCAAACCGTAAGTTGACCCACCTATCGCGCCAGGATTAGTTCCCACGGCGTTCAGCACAGCACGGGTCCTCACTTTACGGTTTACTTTTGTTTTGCACGGTTATTTCGTTACCTTATACTCACCTAGCTGTTCATGTAAAATCTGTTGTTTAAAATCTGTTTTGGTTAAAATCTGTTGGGTTACAACTACAAACTAAATACAATTTTTCGCCTACACACTGACCCCTACCAGTCTTTTGGTGTACTACAGGCTTCTCAGACATTATTGCATTTCATGTACAAATCAACGAACCACTGCATTTGCGCCTACACACTGACCCCTACCGGTCATTCGGTCTACTACAGGCTTCTCAGACATTATTGCATTTCATGTACAAACCAACGAACCACTGCATTTTACACCTACACACTGACCCCTATCAGTCATTTGGCGTACTACAGGCTTCTTAGACGTTCTTGCATTTCATGTACAAACCAACAAACCACTGCATTTTCACCTACACACTGACCTCTACTGGTCATTCAGTGTACTACAGGCTTCTCAGATATTATTGCATTTCATGCACAAACCAACGAACCACTGCATTTTCACCTAGACACTGCCCCCTACCGGTCATTCAGTGTACTACAGGCATCTCAGACATTATTGCATTTCATGTACAAACCAACAAACCACTGAATTTGCGCCTACACACTGACCCCTACCGGTCATTCGGTGTACTAGAAACATTTAAATATATAAAGGGAATCAACACAGTAAAGGAGACTATATTTAAAAGAAGAAAAACTACCACAACAAGAGGACATAGTCTTAAATTAGAGGGACAAAGGTTTAAAAATAATATCAGGAAGTATTACTTTACTGAGAGGGTAGTGGATGCATGGAATAGCCTTCCAGCTGAAGTGGTAGAGGTTAACACAGTAAAGGAGTTTAAGCATGCGTGGGATAGGCATAAGGCTATCCTAACTATAACATAAGGCTAGGGACTAATGAAAGTATTTAGAAAATTGGGCAGACTAGATGGGCCGAATGGTTCTTATCTGCCGTCACATTCTATGTTTCTACTACAGGCATCTCAGACATTATTGCATTTCATGTACAAACCAACGAACCACTGCATTTGCGCCTGTACACTGATCCCTGCCGGTCATTTGGTGTACTACAGGCATCTCAGACATTATTGCATTTCAAGTACAAACCAACGAACCACTTCATTTGCGCCTACACACTGACCCCTAACGGTCATTCGGTGTACTACAGGCTTCTCAGACATTATTGCATTTCATGTACAAATCCACTAACCACTGCATTTTCGCCTACACACTAACCCCTACCGGTCTTTTGGTGTACTACAGGCTTCTTAGACATTATCGCATTTCATGTACAAACCAATGAACCACTGCATTTTCGCCTACACACTGACCCATACCGGTCTTTTGGTGTACTACAGGCTTCTTAGACAGGATTCCAGAGTCTAATACGGAATATTTGCATGTTTGCACGCTTAAAATATAAGTCCTTAAATTACGTATTTTCACATATTAAGTTATTCAGCTGCCAGTCATGGTTCACTACACTCATGTTTTGGGGTACAGTAGTATTCCATATCACACATGATATAACACTCCCGACAAGTTAATTTCTTTCAAACAGGAGCATTACAAGCATACAATAAACATTGGGACGGAGCACTTTGCTCTATTAAACTTGCATAACACACATATGGGTATGCGCTTTTAAATGTCTATATTCAATTTTCATACATTATTTTACCCATCCGGGATACAGGTATTAATAACCCTTACGACCAGTAAGGGTATCTAATCATACTACCAGGTACATACACCTGCTCATGTGGTATATACATACATTTTCTGTTTCCCCCTGGGTATATCCTTAGCGTACTGACAATTAGGGACTATAGGTTTCCAATAGGTATTCTCCTTTCTTGGCATCTATGCCTGTCGTATAGTGGTCATGCGAGGGCAACACCCCGCCTCAACGCTCGGAGGCAAACACGCATCGGGCCACTCGTGAGCTAGCCGCCTCGCATGGTATATAGAGAGGGCCTTACCTGTCACTCCCTTCCCCTTTTTTCTGGTTACAGTCACCGAGAGGCCAACATCCTGCCACTATGTTTTGTGGCCACAAAAATCCCCTTGCGCCATTGCATAGATAGAGCCTCTCAAGCCACTTGGCAACTAGCAGTGCCTCACCTGTCACCAAACAAAGGATTAATTGTTTCGCCATGCGGCTTTAGCTAGCAAGCCAGTACTAGCACACTGTGGGTTTATAAAATAATGGCTATCTTCATGTTTTTTAATATGTATCAAGCAGGTGGTAAGGATTACTCTCTACCTAACACTCCAGCTAGAGTCAACACACTTTCACTTGGAGAAGATGTTGCTAGTCCCACACGACAATTTTGTCCTAACACAGCGGACAATCACATTTCAGGCTCCAGGCTCTGGTAGTACGTAGAGAACTACCAGAGACAAATTGGGTCATCTCATTCTCTTTGGCAAATTCCAGATTTGCAACAATTTCCATGTTGGCACATGTAGTTTCAGTGCATGCAGACTGTTGCAGATATGTTCTCAATATCTAAGGGCACATGCAAAAACCATGTGTCCCAATAAATGTACCCTTAACCTTACTTCACGTCTGTAAACATTATGCATTTCCAGTACTTTCTAACTCATCACCCTTCCAGACATTTAGTTGATTTCCTAATCTCTGAATTTTAAAGGCCTTCCGTACAGGTATTGCCATATACTTTTGGGGGAATCTAGAATACCCTAACTTGCTGGCATTACACTCATGGCCCAAGAAATGGCAGAAAGATTTCTACCTGGGCCTCTCCGATCTACACCATTTACAGCGTGGCGCAATCCCATTGGGATTGTCACAGGGAATCTTTCCTCACACTGTAACTGATCATAGACTTATCTGCACCTCACGCCTCGGCTACCACAAGTCTCAACTCCCTCATACCCCCCGAGGAGTTTTCATTACAATATGCCACCACTGTTCATACCATTACAGCTATCACTCAAGCAGGGGGGGAAGCCTGGGTAAGTAAAACTTATATCACAAACGCATTTCAGACTGCCACCATCCACCCTACACTGGCACTTACAGGGCATTTATGGGCAGCAGTTATATATTTCTTCTCCCGCTTAACTTTTGGGTCAAGAGCAGCCCACAATCTTCAATATAATCGTTGAACTCTTTGCTGGTTGTGGTTAAACATATCCAGATGCCCCACAGTCATACACTCCCGAGATGATTTCTTGTTGGTCAAAGGGAACGCCTTTCCCTCTAGAAGCTTCAAGGAAGCCATTAGTATGTCTGAAAACGTGGGCGTCCCAGTATTCCCTAAGGTCACAGAAGACCCAGACACTATCGTTACATTCCTGAGCATACAACTTGACTCGGCATCCATGCCAACAAGTTACTACGTGAGAAATAGGAACAGTCACAACAACACCAATTACCACCTCCTGCTTGGTACTTGCAACCGCATGGAACTACAATCCCTACCAGGTTCCTTAAATTTTGCCATGCGCATCATACTGCAGGCCGCACTTTCATCTAAGACCACTTCGGTTTTTCCACACTCCCGCATGATGATCAGGGGCTGTCCCTAGACAACCACGCCACGGCAGACCTACACATATGGTGGACTTTCTTAACCACACGTAATGGTAAGCCATTGTGGCAGCTGCTGTGACAGCCGCCATGGCAGGGGGGTTATTTATGGTCATGGATTACATGAACCTCGCCAACATAGCCAGGCTCTGACTAAACTGGCCTTGTCCACCAACACTCAACACGCTTGCTACAGGGTTTTCCACTTATACAATACGTTTCATGTCGGACCATCACTTAGCTGGTTTGAGGTTTCACCACTTATGGCCTTCGCCTCTTTTTGCCACCTTAAGTTAAAAATTCTCGCACAACAAGGTTAAACTTATCTCACGGGCATTCAACACTATACGTATTTCTCCTTCCCAAACAACAAGGGTTCCTATCCTCCCACCCCATCCATACCTTACTTAGAGACATAGCCAAGCGGACCTTCCCGCTAAAACTAAATACTAAAACCATGTCAGAACCACTCGACCATGCACCTTCCGAGCCACGCACCAATGCAGTTATCAAAACTGCTACCTATCTAGCCTTTAAAGGACCACTATAGTGCCAGGAAACAATACTCGTTTTCCTGGCACTATAGTGCCCTGGACCCCCTCCCGCCGGACTGGATGGAGAGGAAGGGGTTAAACTTACCTCTTTCTCCTGCGCCGGCCGGGGAGCTCTCCTCCTCCTCTCCACCTCCTCTTCTCCTCTTCAGCTGAATGCGCATGCGCGGCAAGAACTGCATGCGCATTCAGCCAGTCCACAGGAAAGCATTCATAATGCTTTCCTATGGACGCTGGCGTCTTCTCACTGTGAAAATCACAGTGAGAAGCACGGAAGCCTTCTAGCAGCTGTCAATGAGACAGCCACTAGAGGCTGGATTAACCCATTTATAAACATAGCAGTTTCTCTGAAACTGCTATGTTTATTAAAAAAAGGGTTACCCTTAGAAGGACCTGGCACCCAGACCACCTCATTAAGCTGAAGTGGTCTGGGTGCCTATAGTGGTCCTTTAACGGCTTTCTCAGGCCAAAAAAAAAAATAACACTATCAGCGGCCAACATCATAAACAAGAGTGCCTGTTGACCTCTTATCTTCTAAACCACACAGACCACAATGTCCGGTCCCTTCCTAAAACTAAGACGAGTCAGATGGGCGAGCCAGTGCATATAACCTACTACCTTACAAGCAATGCTGGGTGCCCGGTTAAGGTACTGGTTACGTTCTTGGGCACGCCACCATACGCACCACTGAACCATTACTGTTGCTGTACGATACTGTCCTTACCACAGGTAAGTTCATGCACCACCTACTCATTCACCGGGCTCAAACTAAACCCTAGCGACTACTCAGGGCACTCCTTTAGGATAGGAGCAGCCTCCACGGCCTATAACCAAGACATCCCGCACACGTTAAGACACGGGGCCGCTGGGAATCATAAGCTTATGCGACTTACATACCACAGCCAATTCAGGAATTAGGAAGCTTTCATTAATATGTCTACCTGATGGTTAACAAATGCACTATGATCCTGTATAATGTTTTGCATTAATATGTCTTTTTGCCCACTTTTTACCGGCCTACAGCATACGTCGGTTTCGGCACACCTCAACCGATTATTCCTAAAGCTACATCTCTACAAACCATCTTATTCTATATCATATGAGAATGCCCCGAACACAAATTGGAAGGCATGGCGTGAAGTTGTGGGAGGGGCTATAGACCTATAAAAGGGACTCCCCCCTTTCCCTACTTACCTTTGTTGGTCAGACGAATAGCCCCACCCTTCACTCCCATTGTTCATATTTCCTCTATGTAAGCCCACTTTTTACCGGCCTACAGCATACGTCGGTTTCGGCACACCTCAACCAATTATTCCTAAAGCTACATCTCTACAAACCATCTTATTCTATATCATATGAGTGCCCCGAACACAAATATGTATGTGTGCGTATGTATATATGTGTAGTGTTGTTTTTCTGATCCCAGATTGGGGCTGAAACGTCGATCATTTTAATGGATTTATAATAAAGTATTTTGAATTTTAAGAAGTCCGAGGAGTGCAGCCATCATCTTTGTGGTTTATTTATATATATATATATATATATATATATAATTTTTTTACATTATTTTTATTTATATATAGGTGTGTGTGTGTGTATATATATATATATATATATATATATAAACAAAACCAAGAGGGCTGCACTCACCTAAACATGCATACATTATAGGGTGCTGCTGGGGCCAAAATATACAAAATACAGAATCCAGCGCACTCGCTTATTCACTAAACAATGCTTTCAAAATCTTAGAGATTGTAATAGTTTTATTTAAAAAACACCTCACCTAGGCAAAAAATAATGGGGGTTTAGTTACATTATATGATCATATATTGCATAAGCCTGCCACAACGTCAATGTACCCCATTCTTGGCAGGTCCTACTCTAACAGCCTAATGCTTGCCCTTATGAGATTGATCCACTTACTTGGGAAATACTTCCTTACTGGGACTCTCTGCAAGTCAAGGCTAAATAGGATCCTGGAACGAGGCACCTGTGACAGGGAGGGGTGCAAAACCAAGGAGCTGGCCTAAACTCCCAAATATACAAACAAAACCAAGAGGGCTGCACTCACCTAAACATGCATACATTACAGGGTGCTGCTGGGGCCAAAATATATAAAATACAGAATCCAGCGCACTCGCTTATTCACTAAACAATGCTTTCAAAATCTTAGAGATTGTAATAGTTTTATTTAAAAACACCTCACCTAGGCAAAAAATAATGGGGGTTTAGTTACAGTATATGATCATACATTGCATAAGCCTGCCACAACGTCAATGTACCCCATTCTTGGCAGGTCCTACCCCAACAGCCTAATGCTTGCCCTTATGAGATTGATCCACTTACTTGGAAAATACTTCCTTACTGGGACTCTCTGCAAGTCAAGGCTAACTTCTGTATTTTTATATTTTGGCCCCAGCAGCACCCTATAATGTAAGCATGTTCAGGTGAGTGCAGCCCTCTTGGTTTTGTTTGTATATTTGAGAGTCTAGGCCAGCTCCTTGGTTTTGCACCCCTCCCTGTCACAGGTGCCTCATTCGAGGACCCTATTTAGCTTTGACCTGCAGAGAGCCCCAGTAAGGAAGTATTTCCCAAGTAAGTGGATCAATCTCATAAGGGCAAGCATTAGGCTGTTAGAGTAGGACCTGCCAAGAATGGGGTACATTGACGTTGTGGCAGGCTTATGCAATATATGATCATATAATGTAACTAAACCCCCATTATTTTTTGCCTAGGTTAGGTGTTTTTAAATAAAACTATTACAATCTCTAAAATTTTGAAAGCATTGTTTAGTGAATAAGCGAGTGCGCTGGATTCTGTATATATATATATATATATATATATATATAGTGATATATACGTATATACTTATTTCGTTCTACATGTATTTTCATATCAATATATATTATTTTAAAATACAGTTAGAATGAATTTACACATACATTTTTTTTTATTTTTTTTTTACGTATTTACATATATAAATTTAAGCAATATCATTGTACGTAATATATATATATTTAGACTTGGGGAAGATTTTAAAGTGTGCAGGAGATCGTTTTATAATAGCGGCGCTCTGTAGGAAAAGGAGGTTCTTTTTGTAAGAGGTAGGTGTAGACAGGGCTTTGTTGTGGTCAGCTGTGTATGTATTGTCATTATGTGGTACAGAGCAGATTGCTGTTGTGCATGGTTCAATGCTGCCAAGCCTCTAAGCTTCATCAGTATTGGTGCTGTAGGAAATAACTCCTGTTTTGATAATATATACCTGTCTATTAGCAGTACACACATGATACGATCTCTCAGTGTTAACTGCTTTAGTATACAAAATTAAGTCCTATGCTCAAACTCCCACTACTCCTGGGTGGCAGAAAGGACCATAGTATACATCAGCCCCAATACATACAATAAAAAAACAAAAAAAGAGTTACTTGCGCACTTTTCCAAATCCCTATGCGCATTTACATAACTGGAGGTGATTTAGTATCACTCCAATGGCCATTTAAGTGTAAGAACATCTGCCACTTCAAGGCAAATTTGAGTGAGTCCTAAACTTACAATTCACCTTGCTTCTTTCAGCATCAGGTGAAAATCTCTAATGAGACAGAGAGGAGTATTTTTCTAAACCCCTACATACTTATTAACCCTTAATAGAGAACACATGGGGTGGGTGGCAGCATTGTAACATGGCTGTGTAGTACAAAAGAAAATACAAACATACAAAATACCTGCACTCAAACTCCCTCTACTGGTGGTCGACAAGCAATGACAATAGTACACATCAGCTCCAATACATAGAATAAAAACCAAAGAAAAGAGGTACTTGCGCTCTATCCCAACACCCTATGCACATTTAAATATCTGTATGTTTTTTAGAATCACTCCAATGGCTATTTAAGTGTAAGCTCACCTGTCAAGGCAAACATTTTAACTCTTTTCTTTGGTTGTTGGCTGCTTTAACCCCTTAAGGACACATGACATGATTCCCTTTTATTCCAGAAGTTTGGTCCTTAAGGGGTTAATGATGATAGTGGGTAATGGCCTAATTTCTGTATTCTAACTGTCTGTCCATTCATGTCTATCAAAGTAGCTCTTTGGATGTTGTTGCTTCTGCATACGTTTGGCTTTGACATCCGTGCTGTAGACATCCTTTGGCAGAAACTGCTGGTTGGTGTTGGGTAAGGTAGACCGTAGGTGGTGACTCATTAGCAGCTGTAATTAAGATTTGAAATGAACAGCTCTGTTGCAATATTCCAGGAGACTGAGATATGAGTCTCTTTTGTCAGCCATGGCCTTTTCCAGTAGTAACTTTGTGGTTTGCGCAGATATCTCTGCTAATCTATTACTTTGTGGGTAGCATGGCCTTGTGGTAGTCTCAAATTTGCTTGAGTTATAGGTACGAAAGCTCACAATGGTTTAGAACTCTGACACACTCAGAGAACATTGTTTTCTTTCTTCAGGCTAACCTCTTTGTATGGGCAAACCTCATTATTTGACACCTTTTTTAATACCTGATATTGTGGGTCCCTTTCAGTTTGAATTCTGATTTCCTCCAACTTTAAGTCACTGACAGTAAGACTGTTGCATACTGTGTGCTCTTGAATGTCCATACTCAGACTCTTTTCTTGGTCAGTTAGTGAATTTCTGGACAGTGTCCCCAACAGGAATGTTCTAGCTTGGCTGATATATAATGGTGAAGTTGTACTTCTGGAGCTGCTAGATCATTCTCTGTAGCCTTGGGGGACTTGATGCCAGAGGTTTACGCATTATGGACTTAAGGGGTTTATGGTCCCTTTCAACAATGACTTGGCACCCATAAATGTACTGATGGAAGCACTTGCAACCGAATAATGTGGCAAAAAGTTATTTCATGATGTCAAAATGATTTCACATTCAGTGAGCAACTTTAATGCATAAGTGACAGGTCTTCCATCTTGCAATAGTACTGCCCTGAGTCTGCAAATGGAGGCGTCAACCTATAGAATAAGCTCTTTGTGAAGATCAAAGTAGCCCAATACTGCACCTAGTTTACTTGTGAGAAGTTATTTTATTTTTTTTAAAGCCTTGTCATGTTGGGTGTCCCAAACAAACTCACGTAATTCCTGCAGGACTGATAGTGGCAAGGCTGGGTGCAAATTTCAAAAACGTAATTAATCATGCCTAGCACCGTCTCAAGTTCTCACTTACCTTTAGGTGGCTCCAGGTCACAGCAACAACTTTGGCAGGGCCTGGCTTTATTCCATCAGTAGTGAGAAAATGTCCAAATAAGTCACTTCTGTAGCACAGATAATACTCTTTTCTGGACTGAGCTTGCTTCCACTCTCTATCGAACGCTGTAGCATACCTGTTAGATTTTTATCATGCTTTTATTTTTCGCATAAATCAGACTGTCGTCGACTAGTGCTGTGACCCCATTCAAACCTTTATAGGTCTCATTGATTTTTCTCTGGACCTCATCTTGGGTGGTAATCAGCCCTAAAGGGCAACATCAGAACCGATAGCACCCAAAGACTGTATTGAAGGTAGTCAGTTTTGAGGATTCCGCAGTTAGTTTAATAGCCCAATCTAATATTTGCCTTTTACTGCTATGTGTTCAACTCCATAGCCAAACAGAGGGTGATATGTCGTCTGCAGAGTACACTGAGTATTCAGTTTGGTGTATTCATATAGGGAAATGACGTTCACTGAGGATCCGCTGTTCAGCTTGAACTTCAAATTTGTTTAATTATTGGTAAAAGCCTATTCTTTGTCTGAGCTCTGCCTGTCCAGTGTCACTGAGTCTATAAACTCATCACACTCTTCCTGATCAGTGTTTCCCTTGCTTATTGCAATGCATGGACCTTTTTGTCGTGGCTGAAACGACAGACTTTTGCAAAGTCGTTTAGCTTCCTGCATATTTTGCACACCTTTCTATTAGCATAACAGAGAAATCGATCAGTATGAGACTTGTTTCCACAATAGCCGCATTCTTTGAAACGCCCTCAGCAAAATTACTAGATGGTGAATTTTCACTGTGTTTCTTTGTGCGTTTGATATTATGTTGCCTCAAAACTGCGCTTGTTGATGAATGGCAGGAGATAGCGTGCACAGCATGCTCACTTGCAGTGCTTTTCTAAATAGATTTTAACTGTATATTTAACTGACTCTAAGCCAGTTTGTGAGATCTAGCAACATCTATTGCTTGTTCTAGTGTTAACTCAGAGCCCACATTCAAAAGATTTTCCCTTATTCTCAGTGTATGTATCCCAAACACAATATGGTCACGGATCATTTTGTCACTGTTTGCATAATAATTAAGAAGGAGACGAAAGTCTGTCACAAACTGCTCAAAAGGCTTGTGTTCTCCCTGTACTTTCTCATTGAATTTATAATGTGCAAATATCAAATTTGCTTTGGGTTCAACATATGCTGTGAAATGGTCGTATTATGGCTTTCAAATCTATGCTGCAGGGGGTGGAGCCTAGCTGAGCACCAGAGCAATCGCCATTTCCAAAAGCTCCAAGCAACTCCCTCACACATCCGTTTTTATCAGCAGAAGCATCCCGCACACGAGCATAGAACCACCAGAACTGACTGCCAGGCATTCTGCTAAACACTTTCTAGTCCCGGGCATGAGAACTCGCACCCGAGGCCTTAAAGCCTACCGCGTGAAAAGACAGCCGCCTGGTTGGGACGGAGGGCTACAAGCTGAACAATACCCCGATCCTCATGCCATGGATCAGATGGGACGCAAATCCCAAAAGGTGATCTAACCCACACCTAAGGTGCAGCAAGACATCGGCCAAATGCTACAACTGTCCTTGCCCACCCAGAAACTGACCCCTCTGGAGGTCTCACCTCCCTAGTGGAATGAAGCAGACCAGCAACAAGGTACAGCTCATGGCGCACAAGACACAGCTACCCTACTGCTGACAGAGGATACAGCTCCAGCCTCTAGGGAAGACATCCAACAGATGCTGGCAGACCTGCAACAAAACATACAACTAATAATGGCTGCTGAATTAGCGGGGGTTAAAAAATATATATGCAGGCCATGACTACATGCATCCAAGCCACTGAGGTAGAAGCAACAGATTTGAGACAAGACCTAACAACCTTTAGTGAAACGGTATAACAAATGCAAACAACACAAGCGCATATATCACAGCGTGTTGACCTGCTCGATGATAAAAGCAGGAGGAAAAATATAAAGATCAGGGAGGTATAAGAGTCAGTACTATTGGAAGAACTCCCACACTTTATCAGACGCCTGGTATCCTCCATCTTACCACCGAAACAGGCAGAACACTTCTCTTTTTACGGTGTGTATAGAATAACCAAATCACCGCAAGCACCCCACACTGCACCACGTGACATCATACTGAGATGCCAAATGCTAGCAGACAAGCTGGGTATAATGTCTGCGTTAAAAGGAAAGAAACCATACGACTTTGAATCCTGCAATATCTCCCTCTTTCAGGACTTAAGTAGGTCTACACTTATATGTCACAAGAGCATGCAACCCATTACTAAAGTACCCCAAACTGCAGAACTAGCATACCGATGGTCCTCTCCCACTAAAAAGAAGGGAAACCATACAAAGCAACTAACCCCACAGAAGGCCCCGCATTATTCACCACCTTAGGACTCTCTAACCAAGACACAGCCGTGAAGAGACCACCTCCCACCTGAGGTGGGAGGTGGTCTCTTCACCGTCCCTACTTTCGTGCGAAGAGGGGAGAGAGACATAGTGACTAGATCCAGAACCCATTCGTCACATATCTGAATCAACATATTTTTTATTATGTTATAAATGTTTCTGTTTTAGTTAACGTTTTCCAGCATCACTCAGGGTTTTAACAATGCCACACTCTACCTTGTGTCACTATGACACCAAATAGGCCTCCACGGCGGTTCCACTATGCTCAGGTTCCACCCCCACATAACCCTGTGGTAACAGGGAATTTAGCGACCAAGAGCTCCCAGGTGATATTACATCTCTCTATTGTGCTACACCCTTAATCTATAACTACACCCTAGCGACTCTTACCTTGGCTCCCACTTACCCGAATATTTAAGCAGTGTACCTTTAATAAAATAGCACATACCAACGGAGACGGTACACTCTAATCACTGCAGCATCTACAAAATTGTCTAGCATAGTCATAAGCCAATTGAAATGCATTATCCGCAATCACACGATTCATGTTTATAGTCTATTTAAGATAGGACTAATTCGTTTTTTCTTTTTTGTCTTTTATAAAAATAAAAGAGTCTGAAATACTCAGGAGATTACCTAGATAGGCAAATCATATGTATATGTATTGGCTGACACTAACTCCATTTTCTTTCTGCACTATTCTTATCCAGGGCCGGCCTTGGGCCTTTAGGCACTCTGTGCGAAAAATCCTGACAGAGCCCCCACCCATCTTTATCCATGTATAGTGTGTGTGTGTGTGTGTGTGTGTGTGTGTGTGTAGGGAACAGTCACATACACACATGCAGACAGTCACACACACACACACACATACACAGAGTTACAGTTTCACACACACACAGTTACAGTCATACACAGTTACAGACACGCACAGTTAGTCATACACAGTTACAGTCATAGACACACAGTTACAGACACACACACACACACACAGTCACACACAGTTACAGTCACACACACACAGTCACACACACAGTTACAGACACACACAGACAGTTACAGACACACACACATACCCAAATGGAAGGTTACGGTCAGTAATTGTAAGTGAGAAGTGGAGGCAGTACAGCTCCTGGAGTTGTTGGGGAAGCAGGTACTCCTTCCTGCTTCCCTTTTCGTGTGCAGCACCAACACCGGCTTCTGGGCGCACTTAGCTTCGGCTTTGCTGTCATTTATAGCACTGCCTCTGCGTAAGCTCCACTCACCGCTCGGTAAGCCCCGCCCACCCACACATGTGTGTTTTGGGATTATCGCCTACCCGGGTGGTGAAAAATGAAATCCTCCACCCGGGTAGCAGGTGCACACAGTTCACATCCGGCCCTGTGTGAGCTGTGTCGGCGGCTAGGGCGCCCCTGTTGCCATGGCGCCCGCACAGCTCGCACACCCCTAAGGCCGGCACTGCTCTTATCACTGCAGAGGGCCGGACTAGCCCACCGGGATACCGGGAAGTTTCCCGGTGGGCCATGGCACCTGGGGCCGCCGGGCAGACATCCCTAATCATCATGCTCCTGTAATTTAAGTATTTTCCCCTCGGACTGTGCCAACCTATGTCAGTCCGAGGGGAGTTAAGAGGGAGGAGCTAGGGGCTGGTGCAGCCGCAATTAGGCTGCCCTGCGGCCGGAGGGAGACCTATCAGTCTCCCTTCAAAATGTACATCAATTTTGTGCGCGTGCCCCACCCCCCACATGTAAGCCTGAATGGCAGTTCTCACCCCCATTTACATTGCTTACCTCGCTGGAAGGAAGTGGCCACAAAATGGCAACTTCACCTACCAGTGCCAGGTAAGCTTCAGCCATGACAGTGATTGTGTGTCTGCTAGTGGGAGAGCTTGTGTGTGCCTGCTAATGGGTGAGCGTGTGTGTGCCTGCTAGTGATGAGCTTGTGTGTTTGTGTGTGTGCCTGCTAGTGAGTGAGCTTGTGTTTGTGGGTGTGTGACTGCTAGTGAGTGAGCTTGTGTGTGTGTGTGTGTGTGCCTGCTAGTGAGTGAACTTGTGTGTGTTTGTGCCTGCTGGTGAGTGAGCTTGTATGTGTATGTGTGTCTGCTAGTGAGTGAGCGTGTGTGTGTGTGCGCGCGCTAGTGAGTAAGCTTGTGTGTGTGTGCACCTGCTAGTGAGTGAGCTTGTGTGTGTGTTTGCCTGCTAGTGAGTGAGCTTTTCTGTGTATGTGTCTGCTAGTGAGTGAGCTTGTATGTGTGTCTGCTAGTGAGTGAGCGTGTGTGTGTGTGTGTGTGTGTGTACCTGCTACTGAGTGAGCTTGTATGTGTGTGTGTGCCTGCTAGTGGGTGCGCTTGTATGTGTGTGTCAGTGATCTTGTCTGTAGTGAGCGTGTGTGTGTGTGTGTGTGTGTGTGTCAGTGAACTTGTCTGTTGGAAGCATGTGTGTGTCAGTGAGCTTGTTTGTAGTGAGCATGTGTGTGTCAATTAGCTTTTCTTTAGTGAGCATGTTTGTGTCAGTGAGCTTTTCTGTAGGGAGCATGCATGTGTCAACAAGCTTAGCTTTTCTGTAGGGTGCATGTGTGTCAGTGAGCGTTTCTGTATGGAGCATGTGTGTGTCAGTGAACTTGTCTGTAATGAGCATTTGTATGTCAGTGAGCTTTTCTGTAGTGAGCTTGTGTGTCAGTGAGCTTGTCTGTAGGAAGCATGAGTGTATCAGTGAGCTTTTCTGTAGTGAGCATGTATGTGTGTGTGACAGTGAGCTTGTCTGTAGTAAGCGTGTCAGAGTTTGTTTGTACTACGTTTGTGTGTATACCAATAAGCTTGTCTGTGTGTGTCAGTGAGATTGTTTGTCTGTCATTGAGCTTATGTATATCAGTGAGATTGTTTGTCTATGAGGCTGTGTAACAATGAGCTTGTATGTGTCAGTGAGATTGTCTGTGTCTGCATGTGAGTATGCTTACTGTATAATTAAATGTTTTACTCTGAAAGGACCAATATTTTATAATAAAAAAATTAATTTTATATATATATGTGTGTGTGTTTATATATTACTTGATCATCCGGGGTGGCAAGAAATCAAGAAATAGCCTTATATGTGACTTACATGTGACAATACATGGCGCAATGACTTATGGGGCTGGCATAGATTTCTTTTTTTCCAGGGCTGCTTTGTATCCCCAATCCGGCCCTGCTACTGCCTCAATAAAAGAGACTTTTTTTGTTTTTTTTTTTTTTTTTTATAAATCTTTGCTTCATCTATAGATGATGTATTGAAAATATCTCGGTTCCACCCACAGGATAAAATAATGAAAATTTTCACCTTCACCATTTCTTTTCAGGGGTATGCTGAACATTAGCTTTGTCTGAACCTGTGCCATGCTTCAGATAAATTACTTGTTTCCCAGTTTATTGGGAGTGTTGGAACTCTAGCGGCATCAATCTTAATTCAAGTGATTCTTTTACTCTGACACCATGCAATAGTTGTGTTTTTATATGGGGCGTATACAGAAGCTCTGGATACCAGTAAACTTTAGTTTAACATGCAGACTTTTATAAAGCTTGTGTAAACATACAGCAGGAATGCTGTTCTTTAGCAGTAGACAGGAACTAGCAATAATGTTCTAATTTAAGGAGAGCAAAAAACGGGTCGCAAGAGTATTCTGAGAACGGACAGCAGCTGAAATAGCCTGCCCTTCGGTGGGTCCCCGCTCAGAACTCAAGCTGGTTTTAGCTCATCTTGTGCCATTACAAAGCGAACATATCTGAAGCATATCAGACTGGTCCCACCCATACGAGCAGTCCAGATCCAAAATGCCAGCAAGTTCTCTCTGCACGAGAGATACAGCAAACCCAGATGATCGTTTCAGCCTTGTTAGATATCATCAGTGAGGCATAGCTGATATCTCTCTAGGCACCGTGAGCAAGGGGTCCACGTCTGGATTACCCCTTTAAACTTATGGAGAGCAAAAAACGGGTCGCAAGAGTATTCTGAGAATGGACAGCAGCTGAAATAGCCTGCCCTTCGGTGGGTCCCCGCTTAGAACTCAAGCTGGTTTTAGCTCATCTTGTGCCATTACAGAGAGAACATATCTGAAGCATATCAGACTGGTCCCACCCATACGGCCAGTCCAGATCCAAAATGCCAGCAAGCTGTCTCTGCATGAGAGATACAGCAAACCCAGACGATTGTTTCAGTCTTGTTAGGCGTCATCAGTGAGGGGGTATATCCACTAAATGGTGATTTTTATTTTGCTTGGGTATGGGCAGTGGGTGTCCATTTATAACCAAAGTATAACTGATAAGGAGAATGTTCCCAGATAGAGTATTTTTATCTTAAATTTCAGATTCCAATTCTTACTGGGGGAAATAAAAAAAAAACTGTACTTGTCCAGTGGAACATTGTAAAGCTAGTAAACCTATCAGTATACTAAATAAAATGGTTTATTCACTCAGGAATTCCCCTTACATGTACTTTATGGTATGGTATTGATAAAACAAACAAACAAACAAAGAATAAACAGTTTTCTTCATAGCTCTAGGGGCATGTCATTTCTTCACCTCTTTATTAGCCTGTGTGTTTGTTTCCCAACGTGGGTAAATACAGCCAGCCCATTGTTCTGATGTGAACACACACAATTCTGGCAATGTGTACTGGCAGTGCCTGACTACTTCCCACTCACTGCCATGTGTGACTAAGAGCCTTTAAACCAGCAGTGAGAGGGTTAATAGGATGGGTGTGGCTGGGCGTGCTGCTGATTACTGTCAGCCCAGCCAGCACCTGTGATCACACACTTCTTCTTCTGATTGAGCTGTTGGGCTGGAGAGTGGGATCTTGAGCACCATTACTAGAGTGAGTATTGTTACACACTGGGCCCCAAGCCCTCCATTTGAGTTATTTTATGCACAGGGCATCACAAAGCTTGGGATTTAGTCCTTTCAGTTGGTGTGGTGGCCAGAAGTCAGATGCCAGTTTTTATAAAGAGCATCTACCTGTACTGTACCAGTCTTAAAGCTGGCAGAGCATGATGGGAGTTGTAATTTCATGGCAAGACAGGAGGGCTTCACATTTACCTAACCTTCTTTCTGTAAAACCTCCCAGCAGTGAGATGCCCACACTATTACACAAAGCCTGGTACACAGCAACACTTTAAATGGAGGTTTATATCAGAAATATGTCAAGTGTGTGTGTTTTCATATACTAAACTTAAAGGTTTATTTTTTTTATGTATAACTAGTTGGCTAAAGTTAAATAACATGTGGATAAAGGCAGTAAGCAGTAGGATTGTTTGTTATTAAGAATATGGCATCGTGTATTGTACACCTTTTTTATTTGGAGCTGTACTGTGACTGAACTCCAATCTAATAACTAAGGGATGGGTATTTTTTATGAGCATCCCCCATTCAGTAACTGTTATTATCCATGATCAGTTGGTGAAGAGACTGCTGTGAGTGAAAGGCCTCAAGCATTGTTCTGGAACAAATCCCTAACTTTTGCTCTCTTTGTAGTAAAAGGTAACCATGAATGTGGGTTGGGGGGGTTGGTTGTTTTTTGATTTTTTTTTTTTTTTTTCCCTGTAACTCCTGTCCACAACAGTTTATGGGTTTTGTGTCCCAATATCTAGGGGTGGGGGGATAGTCCCAAATTAAATTTTCCTTTTAATGTTTGACTGCTTGGACATGCTGCTGCTGGAAACATAAGGGTATCAAAATCATGAGATAGATATAGAGATATATACACACACACACACACACGTAATATTGGAGTGATAAGTGTATAAAATTGAGATTTAAAGGGACACTATAGTAACCAGGACAACTACAGCTTAATGTAGTTGTTCTGGTGAGTATAATCATTCCCTTCAGGTGTTTTGCAGTAAACACTGCCTTTTCAAGACTGACATTGGCAAGAACTAATATTTCATCCTGTAAGTCTGCAAAACCGCCTAAAATCTGTACATGGGGGGTACTGTTGTGCTCGTGAGACATCGCTGAACACAAATATGTTTTTTTTTTTTTTTTTGTTTGGTTTTTTATGAGCAGTAAAATGTACAACGCTGATATCAGTGAAAGTGCTGTTTTTGTGTGGAGAAATGGGAGATGGGGGACTAAATATGAACACCAACTTTGTCCAGTGTTTGTATCTTAAGTGGCTAATAATATATAAAAAAAACAAAACAATTATTGGATATAACCCAGGGTATTCAAAAATGGAGTATCTAACTTTGAAAATGGTATACCACCATGGGGGTATTTCTCATTCCTCAAACCCTGTCCAAAGTTAGCGTTCATATTTTGTTTGCATTTTTCAAAAAAATTGCACCTCCTCCCAACTCTGGCTTAATGAACCAGTTTTGGCGTATTGATCGTGCACCTGCAGTCTTGATGCTCAATTGCCTGCTATTTTTTAATTTAACCCCTTTAAGGACACATGACGTGTGACATGTCATGATTACCTTTTATTCCAGAAGTTTGGTCCTTGAGGGGTTAAAGAGTCATCTGTTTAAAATTTTATTTTATTGAAAATTCTATTTAATTTAGCATAATCAGAAACAAGTGATTTAACTCCTAAATGGTAGAGAATTGAGCAGTGAGACTGCATGGGCATAATCTATACACTAAAACTGCATCGTTGAGCTAAAGTTGTTTTGGTGACTATAGTGTCTTTTTAAATATAAAACTTGCAAATTGGAATTTGTGGACTCTGTCTGGGTTGTCAGGCAAGTCCCTCATATTGTAATGAATAAAATCTCTTAATTATATAAAGATTAAGTGTAAAAAAAAATATATACTTTAGATTATTTATGTGTGTGTGTGTGCACTGTATAGGTGTATTTTACTATTAATATATTAATAGCAAATTACACGTAGACTGATATATATATATATATATATATATATATATATATATATATATATATATATATATATATATATATATATATATATATATATATATATATATATATAATTTTCTCTATCTGTATATAAATAAAAATATTTAAAAAAAGTGTGTGTGTGTGTGTGTATGTATATATAAAAATTGGGTATCCTAATGAATTACAATTAGCGGGACCTGCCTGACAACCCATGCTGAAAGTAAAGGGAATTTAATTTGCTAGCACTATATTTAACCCTATAACTTTCCAAGACCCCATAAAACCTGTACATGGGGGGTACTGTTCTACTCGGGGGGACTTCGCTGAACACAAATATTAGTGTTTCAAAACAGTAAAATGTATGATATCGCCAGTAAAAATGGTTCTTTTTTTTTTTTTTTTGCATTTTTCACGCACAAACAGCACTTACACGGATGATATTATTGCTGCAATACTTTTTACTGTTTTGAAACACAAATATTTGTGTTCAGCGAAGTCTCCCGAGTACAACAGTACTCCTCATGTACAGGTTTTATGGTGTTTTCAAAAGTTACAGCATCAAATAAAAGGCTTGCGTTACATTTTTTTTTTCACATTAAAATTTGCCAGATTGGGTACGTTGCCTTTGAGACCCTATGATGGCATACCATTTGCAATAGTAGACAACCCAAAGTATTGCAAACGGGGTATGTCCAGTCTTTTTTAGTAGCCACTTAGTCACAAACACTGGCCAAAATTGGCGTTTTTGCATTTTTCACACACAAATACTAACGCTCACTTTGGCCAGTGTTTGTGACCAAGTGGCTACTAAAAAAGACTGGACATACCCCATTTGCAATTCCTTGGGTTGTCTACTTTTGCAAATGGTATGCCATCATGGGGGTAATTCTCATTCCTGGGTTACCATACGGTCTCAAAGGCAACGTAACCAATCTGGCGAATTTCAATGTAAAAAAACTGAAAAATGTAACATGCTCTATTTGACCCTGCAACTTCCCAAAACACCATAAAACCTGTACATAGGGGGTACTGTTTTACATGTGAGACTTTGCTGAATACAAATGTGTATTTTATTGCAGTAAAAGCAAACAGTATTATGTATATTTTTTTTTTTTTTTGGGTGGGTGCATTTAATATGAAAGAGGTGAATTACGGTTGGACAGACATGTAGTGAAAATGCCAGGTTTTGTTTACAATTTGTTTCGTTCACAACGTGTACATTTGGCTCCGTCCTTAAGGGGTTAATTAACTATGCATCCAGTTGGGGAAAAATTAAAAAAAAAAAAACACTTCTCCAATATGCCATCTAACTGGTTATTGTGTGCACTGTAATGTATGTTGCATAAACTTAACTGATTACTACTTCATTGTATGCAGATCACTGGACAAAGGAATAGCATATAAATCAGCACAATGGACCCAGTGAATGATGCAGGTAAGGGCTAGTTTATTTTTATCTATTTTGATAGCCAATAGATCAGTGCACCTGTGCCCCCTGACACCCTCCCAGCCATTTTCAGATCCAGGACCAGCTTTACTTAACATTAGCTGAATGCTGGTCCCTCTGGGTCTTCTCCCTTGGCGCTGCCATCTTTAATTATCTAAGATAGCAACACCTGGATGTCAGTCATTGCCCACAGCTGGGTATGCGCAAGAATCTGCATTGAGAGCAGTGATGTGGCATTGGAGGAAGTAGAGTACTTGTGTCCTTGGCCACTATAGCAGAGAGGTGTGTGAAAGGTGCAACTGTAGATATTTTGATGTCTGTTGCAAGTACTGCCAGAGTGAGACGACATTCAGGAATTGTGCAGAGCCTCTGCTAACCCAACACTGTATGGGCATGTGCTTGGTGTCCCAAATGGACTGGCCCATTGGTATATTTTCTTGGAGATTTCAGGTTCTTGGGTTTGACAGGTTGCTGCCAGATTAAGTGTGTGTGTGGTGGAGGTATTTCAAAGTGACTGCAGGGTGAGATGAGAGTGGAGTTACAGTAAGCTGTTAATAACGTAGGCATGAGCAGATGTCAGTTTTGCTATGCGAGTCCTATTAACGGCGGTTACAAGACTAAATTATGTCAAATCTTATGACTTAATCAGCCTCTATTTGTAAAACCTATTTTTATTTAAATTTCTTTTTAAATGTGAGTTTAACCATCTGGTCTTTTATTTGTATTTTGTAGCTTATATTTTTCTTTTTACTTTTGGGCCTGGCTTTTGGCCAAACTGCTAAAATGTCTCTTCATGCTTGTATTCCTTTGAGAAAATGAATGTGGCTATTTATTTTTAATTTTGTTGTTGTTGTTAAATCCACCCCCTTGTTTTCTTCACTAAGAGTTTCCTAATCTGTTATAGTCCACCATCTGGCCAGGTATTCTGTAACCCATTGAGGGAGGGCACGTATAGGGAATTACCTGTTTAACCCCTTAAGGACACATGACGTGTGACATGTCATGATTCCCTTTTATTTCAGAAATTTGGTCCTTAAGGGGTTAAAAGGATGCCATTAAAATAAACCTACAGCATCCTCTTGAGTATTGTACAATAGCCATTTAGTGTAATGTGAACTGGTTTCGTAATACAAGTCATGCCTTCCTACAATAGGTGACTTGACTGTATTTAGCAGCCAGGTTGCTGCACTTTTTAAATGCATATTAGGTTGCATAAGTATTATTTAACTACTTTGGGTGGTGGGGGGGAGAGAGGGGACTACAGTAAGTTGTAGCTGGTTTGGTGCCTATATTGTCCCTTTTTAAAGGAACACTATAGTCACCTAAATTACTTTAGCTTAATAAAGCAGTTTTAACCCCTTAAGACCGGAGGGTGTACTATTACGCCCTATTATAGGCGGCTCTAAACGCCGCCGGGCGTAATAGTACCCCCTCCGGTCTTTCGGTACTTACCCGGTCGCCGGTGATCCCACGCCGGCGATCACGGTTGGAGGGACTCCCAGGGAGCCCCCCGCGGCATGTCCGACTCCCTGGAAGCCCCCCCGGCCATGTGAGAGTGAGGTCCTTTTTTTTTAAATATACCGCAGGCTATTAAAACAGGAGATAATTTTTAATGTCGCAGTGAGTTTAGAAGTTAAGTCTGTTTGTTTATAGCAGGGGTGTCCAACCCACAGGCCGCTAGCAGTGCAGCCTGGGTGGTAAGGGAGGCAGGCAGCCCTGTACATGCTGTGCTTCTGCTAGACAGCTCCCTTGTGCATCATACAGTGAGCTCGCTGCTGGGATATGCGAGGGACCTGTACAGGAAGAGCACTGAGATCCCAGCCAAGCAGCAACCGCTGTCCACCAGGGACCGAGGATCCATCCAGCAAGGTAGGGAGGCTGGGTGGACCCCTTAAGTACAACATTTCTATGTGTGTGCGCCCGGGTCTGTCTGTGTGTTTAGTAGAGGGCTCCCAAATTTGGTGGTATTAAATATTGCAATCCCACATAAAGATAACAAATAAGGTAGTGATCTACTAAACTGCAATATCAAAATGTTAGAAAATGGCTTATTTTTTAAAAAATTTACATTCTTTTATTTTTCATGCTAGGTTTATCATTTCAACAAGTTCATCAGTTTCACACCGAATAAGAAGTACAAAGTTAATGGTGGTCGTCTTGTGTAACATTGTGGTTAACTGCATATTGAAAGCATTAACATGAGGGTATTAAGCAAATTTACTTCTAGTGGAGACCAACCCAGAGTAGGCCTAGGTGTAAAAGTTGATAGTGTGTGCTGTGCCCCTCTGATACTGCAAGTGTGAGAAGTTAAGTATGCACGTTGGAGAAGGAAGTGTAAGCGCATAAATGTGTGCAAAATCAAGCTTGCTCATGCGTGTAAGTTGGATGCCTGCTTGTATCTGTCGTCTGAGTGCCTAGTGTTTCTGGTCAGTTTGGATTGTCATGTGTGGGTACTACTCCAAGACTCTGGTATACTAATTCGGCATCCTATCTGTTATTTCCAACCATGCGGGAGGGGGGAGTGGAGGGTAGTTAAGTTAGGCGCCATTGATCTGTTGGTAGTAGGGGAATTATCTGCCTCTGTTGAGGGTAGTAAGGGTGTCTGGGAAAACTCGGTGCCGGTGAGAGAATAGGGTCCTGGGGTGTGTTTTTTTTTTTTTTGAGAGCAGGCTTTAGATAGTGTCTGTTCAGAATGGCTTGCGGCTCTTCCCCCCCAGAAAATGGCTTTTAAAGTTATACTGCTTGAATACATACAGTGAAAGGGGGGGTTGTATTTGATCGCCTGCTGATTTGTGCTGCTTCTAAATGTGAGGTTGGAGATATTCTGGAGTTTTACAGAAGCTTCAACTGTCTAAGAGTTGTGCTAAGAGTTTTCTTTTCTACTGTTACAGGTAAGATTCATCTGTAAGAAAAGGTTACTGATTGTACAAGGTTTAATTTCCTGTTGGTAATTTCGTAAGGCATTTGATTAGCTAAATACTTACTATTGATTGCTAGTAAATTAGCTATTGTTTGCAAATAAGCATAGGCCTACCCAGGCGTTAAACATTCCTAGTGGGTGGTGATTTTAGAAGTTATATAAGGCTTGTTGTCATTAGCTTGGCTAATATAGCTTGGTTGCTACTTCAAAGTGCTGTTTCTAAGTGTGTAGTTGGAGATATTCTGGAGGACTAAACATTTCAGATTTGTTTGATTTAAATTATTCACCTCATTGAAATGGCAGACTTAGTTCAGTGTAATAGTTGTTATGCATTTGTTTCACGTTCCACTTTTTGGAGATTTGGATGCTGTTTAATCTGTAGACAGTTCTCTATATTGCGGCAGGAGACTGTAATTTTGAAGTCTGAGATTTGTAAATTATCTGGTAAACAAACTCTGGCTGGATCTGCTGCAAAACCACTGCCGCAGAGACGTCCTGGTAGACTTAGAGTTGTGGATAAAAGGCATATTGCACAGTCTGTTACTCTACATAATTCATTTTCTGCACTTTCAGAGTGTAATGGAGACCAGCACTGAGGGTGGTGAGGCCTAATAGAATGCAGTTGTTGTTGAGGGATTCCATCATTAGAGGTGTGGAGATGGACAATGGTGGTCTTGTGAGCTGCCGCTCACAGAGACAGGAGACATATCTTGTAATATTGTTAAGCGAGCAAAGCAGGAAGGGCAATTGTATGTACTTGTCCATCCAGGGACAAATGACTTGGCTTGCAATGGGGTTTCAGAGGTTAAGGAAGTTTTTAGTGTGTGGTTTTTTTTTGTTTGTTTTTTTGCCAATGATATATGGCAGGTTGCTTCCACACTGTCATTCTCTGAAGTTCTGCCTGTGCATAACACTCAGAATGACAGGCGGATGCGTATTAGGAACTTTAACTTGTGGCTTGATGAATGGTGTTGGGAGCAAGGATTTGGCTTTATTTCTCATGGTAGCTCTGTTTAGAACGGAAATAAGCTGTACAAAAAAGATGGTTTGCATCTTTCTCAAAAGGGAACAAATGTTCAGAGGTTTTGCTAGGATGTATTTAAACTGGTGCGGGGCGGGGGGGCAAAAGGGTGATAAAACATCAATCCAATTGCCCCCCCAAAACAAGGACAGAAGGTGCCTTTAGCAAGTGTTTAAAAAATAAGCTTAGAGTCGTGCCTACAAATGCTCACAGTTTAGAGAAGATCCATTAACTTGTGGCAATAATGGCAACTGGTAGTGTAGATTTAGTCGCTGTTACTGAGACATGGTATAATGAGAGAAATGACTGGGACATAGCAATACCAGGGTACTCTTAATATAGAAAAGACAGGGAAGGCAAGAAAGGGGGAGGGGTGGCCCTGTATGTGAAGGATAGCATAAAAGTTAGTGAGGCGAACATTGAGTCCGTTTTGGTTACGTTAGAATTTGGTAATCACACAGTAACTCGTGTAGGTGTTATTTAAGGGCCCCAAGGACAAATTGAAGAGTTAGATAATCTACTAGTTGAGGAAATAGCTAAAATGACAATGAAGGGGGAAGTTATCATCATAGGTGACTTTAATCTTCCTGATGTGAATTTGAAAACCCAAATAGCTACTTGTGCCAGGAGCACACATATTCTAAACTCCCTACTGGGATTGTCTCTAAAACAAGTCGTTGAGGAGCCAACTCGTAAAGAGGCCATACTAGATTTAGTATTAACAAATGGAGATTTGGTATCAGATATTACTGTAGGTGAAAATGTAGGATCCAGTGATCATCAGTCAGTGTGGTTTAATATAAGAACAGTGACTGGGTCACACCACACAATAACAAAAGTTTTAGACTTTAAAAAAACTTTTTTTTCTAAAATTAGAATATGTGTAGAGGAGTCATTATCAGACTGGAGCAATTTAAATGGAGTCCAAGAGAAATGGGATTATTTAAAAGATGCCCTGCTGAAGGCAACAGAAAATTGCATTAGGCTTGTCTGTAAAAGCAAAAAATGGTACTCCGCAGATGTGGCCAAAATAGTAAAAACAAAAAGTTGCCATTTAGTATTAATATATAAAAAAAAAAAATAAAATAAAATAATAATAATAATAAACCAGAGTGAGGAAGAAAAGAATGATCTATAAGATTAGGCAGAAAGAGGCTACAAGTTCTAAACGCCCAAATCTCAGAAGAGAAGAGAATAGCACAAGTGTAAAAAAAAAAAAAAAAAAAAAAAAACTTTTTTTTTTTTTTTAGATACATAAATGAGAAAAGGAAAGTAAAACAAGGATTAGTTAGATTAAAAACAAAAGGAAGGTATGTTGAAGAGGATAAAGGTCTGACTGCCTCAATGAATATTTTTGTTCAGTATTTACATATGAAAATGAAGGAAAGGGACCTCCGTTAGGAAAAAGGACAAATGAGCCATTTATTACATTTGAGTTTACAGAGGAAGAGGTTTTATTTCAACTGTCAAAAGTAAAGAAAAGTCAATGGGACCGGATGGAATACACCCAAAGTTATTAAAAGAGCTTAGTGGTTGTAACGGCTACCCAGCTGGTATGGGGGTATCTGCCGTTGGAGACGTCCTTTTCTAGGCAAGCTGCTGTGAAGGAATGGAGTTCTTATTCCCATCCAGAATATCCAAGAGTACAATCAGGCATCGCTGTAAAATGAGGCAGAGTAACTGTACAATAAATCCCCTCCAAGAACGAGACGAGGCTACGTTTTGAAGGGTCAAGTAGAACTGATGTTTGACAGGGGTCTCCTTTTATGCAATGGTGCCCTGAAAAAGGCTACACCCACATAATTATCACAATAACCAATCATATACATGGTACAACCCCCACGTCTCCTCCCCTCAGATAAACATGTAACACAATTAAAACATGCACAATTTTACGCAAGTTCTGGATGTACCGCTTGATAGCTCTCATTCAGGGGAACAACATATCCAATTCGGTTGAGGGGTTCTGGAGTTATGGGTCTTTGAAGTTTTGACCGACCGCACAGATTCTCTAGCCGAAAAGAGTTCCATAAGTTTTGGCTTGCGGTCGGTCTCTGTTCATGCATTAAAACCCCACGAACCGCTTGCCATCCACAGTCACCCTGGTGTTTGCTGGAATCCCTATGTGAGCTTAAGCATAACTACCGAATGGCCGGTCGTTCGGTAGTTCCAGCACCAAGTTATGAGCTCATGGAGGTCTCAGCGGTGTTTGCCTGTTTGCGTGTCCGTCTTTAGTTCCATGCGTTCACGGGCAAACACCGCTGTTCGTGCGTAAGATGACCGCGAACGCGTGTAAAATCCCGAAATGGCGGCCATCTATTCTGAGCACAAAGGATTCGTGTGAAACCATGCGAACAGCTCCAAAAGCACTGGGAGGTAAAATACCACTTAACTGTGCCCCTGGGTGGTCCGATGTTCGGTAGTTTGAGCTGCATTCGCCGGTAATGGTATTTCCCATGATATAGTTATTCAGTTTTTAGTAAATCCAACTGTATTGATAAATAAGTCCAGGCACAAGCATAGTTCTGTTACAGTGGTGTACTAGCAAAACCATTAACAGATTTATTTAACCAATCATTGTTAACAGGAGTAGTCCCAGAAGATTAGAAGTTAGCAAATGTTGTGCCCATCCACAAGAAAGGTAGTAGGGAGGAAAGTGATGGAAACCATGTTAAAGGATAGGAAAAACACATGGATTTCAAGATCAGAGACAACATGGGTTTTCCTTCAGGGAGATCATGCCAAACTAATCTTATTGATTTTTTTTTGATTGGGTAACTAAAATTATAGATCAGGGTGGTGCAGTAGACATTGCTTACCTAGATTTCAGTAAGGCTTTTGCCACTGTTGCACATAGGCTTATCATTAAATTGCGATCTATACGTTTTGGATTCCAATATTGTTGAATGGGTAAGGCAGTGGCTGAGTGACAGGCAACAGAGGGTTGTAGTTAATGGAATATATTCGAAGCTTGGGCTTGTCACCAGTGGGGTACCTCAGGGATCTGTACTTGGACCCATCCTCTTTTTTAATATTTTTATTAGTGATATTGCAGAAGGTCTTGATGGTAAGGTATGTCTTTTTGCTGATGATACTAAGATATGTAACAGGGTTGATGTTCCAGGAAGGATATGGCAAATGATTTAGGTAAACTAGAAAAATGGTCAGAGCTGTGGCAACTGACATTTAATGTGGATAAGTGCAAGATCATGCAGCTTGGACGTAAAAACCCAAGGGCAGAGTACAGAATATTTCATACCCTACTAACCTCAACATCTGAGGAAAGGGATTTAGGGGTGATTATTTCTGATGACTTATAGGTAGGCAGAGAATGCTTGGTTGTATAGGGAGAGGCATTAGTAGTAGAAAGAGGGAAGTGCTCATGCCATTGTACAGAACACTGGTGAGACCTCACTTGGAGTATTGTACGAAGTACTGGAGACCGTATCTTCAGAAGGATATTGATACTTTAGAGAGAGTTCAGAGAAGGGCTACTAAACTGGTTCATGGATTGTAGGATAAATCTTATTAGGAAAGGTTAAAGGATCTTAACATGTATAGCTTGGAGGAAAGACGAAACGGGGGGGATATGATAGAAACATTTACATACATAAAGGAGGAAAATTTATATATATATATATATATATATTTTTTTTTTTTTTTTTTTTTTTTTTTTTTTTTAAGAAAAGCTGGTAGATGTTAACACAGTAAATGAGTTTAAGCATGTGTGGGATAGGCATAAGGCTATCCTAACTATAAGTTATGGCCAATGATTCTCCTGATTTTTAAAACTCCACGAGGTGAGATCTTGCATGGAGCACCAGACCGAGGGAGACTGACAGTTATTTCGCGTTTCTTCCATTTGCAACTGTCACCTTCTCATCAAGCTGCTTGGCGTTTGTCTTGTAGCCCATTCCAACCTTCTGTAGGTTTACAATATTGTCCCTGACATCCTTTGACAGCTCTTTGGTCTTGGCAATGGTGGAGAGTTTGGAATCTGATTGCTTCTGTGGACAGGTGTCTTTTTATGTGTGGCCCAGGCCAATTCTTCTGCTCTCGATTTACAGCACAAGGAAGCCAAAATGTTGGTCATCCATGGTTTATAGGGGGGCTGTATAAATCAGACAGGCTAGGTGTGAAACGGGTTAAATAAACCTTTTTTAGTGTAAGTGATTTAAGTACTAAATGGCAGGGAAATTGGCGATGAGACTGCAGGGGGTATGATCTATATATACCAAAACATTTCATTAAGCTTGTTATTTTGGTGCTGAGGCAGAAGTGCTTGGTGCCCCTTTTTAAGACCACTCAAGCACATGACTCCATCCATTTGTGATTTGGAAGGGGCTTTAAGGGGGAGAGAACTACCATTAAACAAAATTGTAGAAAGTAACAAACATAAGTCAACTACATCATACTTGATCTGTTGGGGTAAACTCATTCTTTCCTTGGATTTTTGTACATGATGCTAACCACTTGGTAAGTGCAGGTAAGCTTACACCTAAAGGAACACTTTGAGATACAGGTTTGCATTCCTAAAGCCTCCCGCAATTTCCTCTAGTTCTCTTCCAGGTCCTCAAATTCATTAAGACAAAGTGGCCTTTTAATGGCCATATTGTTCTCCTTCAAATATTGATTATTAAGGTTTGATAGTATACCAATACAAGTATATTCTAATTGTTTCAATGCTATGAATGGGATTATCTGGTCATCATCTAATCTGATCCATTTTAAATGTCGTGTTTTTTTTGTTTTTTTTTCTAGAACTCACTACACCTGTAGGGAAAGCAACAACCGGTGCTTCCTCGAACGCTGAGGGCTTTGATGTACCAGTTATTGCAGGTAAAGCCTTTTTTTTTTTTTTTTTTTTAAGGATCTCAGACAGCACGTTGTAGTGGTTATGGTGGCATGGGGAATTTGGGGCTGCCCCACCACCAAATTGTAAGAATTCAAACTGCTTGAGAAGGGTTTAAATTCTTATCTGGGGTCCAGTAGATGCTATTCACCACTTCCACTACCTCAGAGAGCCAGATGCTCAGCCTACTGCTAGTCCTGTGCGGTGTTGCTCCTGAGCATTAAGAAGCTTCTAAAAGGGGTATAACTATCCCTTTTTGTCTCCACCCTCCCCCAATATATAATTTTCTTCTATTTTTTTTTTTTTTTTTGAAGTTCACTTTATTTCTTAAACTCCCTATCATGCAGTTGATGATGCTATGTTTATTAATAATGGCTATTTTGTTTGATTCACCTTCTTGTCCTTTCCATGTGTGAGAATAAGAAATGACTTGGTGGATTGCATGTTGCATATCATTTTGTTGGTATCTTGATAAATATGCTTTTTGTAATTTTATTTTCAGATTTAGGCAATAATGTATTTGAGAGCTCTGCCAAATAGGGAGTGCCATTTTAATGCTATTTTATGTAGTGCTAAAGAAAAGTGGTTTTAGTGCCGTTCCTCAGCCTCCCAGTGTAGCTTTCAGTATTACCCCCACAAAAACTCTAATACCATGTAAAAGCCCTATAACAACTTTCAAACCTTCATGCTGGGCACACACAATACTGACAAAACAGGAAAAGTTCTCGTCTCAAAGAGAGCTGAGCCACTTACTATACATGCGTAATCCAAAGCATCTCTAAAACCCAGCCCAGTGCACTGACCTATGAATGTCTATTTAAAATGAAATACACTTTTGCAAATGTTTGATTATTAATGTAGTCTTTCTCACTTAGGTGTCATTGCTGCTGTTTTCATAACACTTCTGATTGCTGTGGTGTTAATATCTGTCTACTTGTACAAACATAAAGGGAGTTATGTCACCAATGAGTCACCAGAGGAAGAGTCAACCAAGGCTTTACAGACAGAGGAGGATTCCTCTGAGAAGCAGGAATATTTAATGTAACCTGTTCAAGGACTGGAGGACGTTCTAGGAAGTCCTATTGAATCCGGAAGCGGCCAGATATAGACTTCTATTTATTTGGAGTCTGGATCCTTTTGTTATGCATTTTTGTTTAGTTTCTGCTGTGTCCCCCTCCCCTCTTTTTGTGACTTCATTATATGGTCCTGCTGGATTTAGCAATTGGGATGCTAGAATGGCGACTTCTATTCAGTCAAGGACACTGCGTTGGGTTTTAGACAAAACTTTCAGTGCTGAACTGCGTGAAAGCAAAGTTATTTTATATGCAACACTATAACACTAATGGCAGCATAAGCTTATCTTTCCATTAGACATTCTAGGGGTTATGTACCCTCAATTTCTGCACAAAAAGTAGATTTAAATGGTTTATTTGTGCAGGTGGAAGGGTAACTCTGCCAGACCCATTTGTTGGATGTACAAATCACTCGTAATGTGCCTGGGTGAATCTTTCTTTAATGTAAATAGTGTTTCTAGAATTTTTTTATTTTTTTTTGAGTATTTAAAAGACTGCACTAGAGGGAGTTGGCATGTGTTCCGTGCACTGTTTGTAAGTAGTAAACCAAAATATATTTAAAAATACTTTGTTGCTCTGTTGTGAAAATCTTTTTTTCCTCTTTAATAAATCTTTTTCAGTTTATTTTTAAAATAGAAGTGTGCTACTTGGGAGGGGTGGTGGGGTTGTCCTGGGTGTCAGAAATAATCTTGTTGGTCTTTAGATGCATAAGTGTCTCTTCCATCTAGTAGTCTTTGCGACTGTCACTGGTGAAATTGTATGACAGGAACAGGTTTGCTAGTATTTGAGCACTTCTAGTGTATTAATTTCTTGATCAATCTCTCTCCAGCTCTGCTCCCGTGATTGATATATAACAGGTGACCCTGCTTGGGTTGCATTAACCCAGCGGTTTCTAAACTGGGTGCGCCGCGATGTGCACACAGGGGTGCCGCGGAATACTTCCTTGGTGCTATGATCATGGCACCAGGGAAACATTACTGCTCAACGGGGACTCAGTCGAATTCCGCAGTACTTTAAGACCAGGCCTCTGTAATGTCAGCCGGCTGGGAGAAAGTGAATCTGTCACTTCCTCCCAGCATCCTGCAGGGAGACCGCGCTGGAGGAGGCAGCCGCATAGCGTAAGGGGAGAGGAGTATGAAGAGCACCAGATCCCTCACTCCAACAGCAGCAAAACCACCCTCCTGGCACATAAGGTAAGCTAACAGGAGGGTGGCTGGAGATAAAATATATATTTATTTGTATCTAGGCATATGTGTATATGTTGGTGTCTATATGAATTTGTGTGTATGTGTCAGTGTAATATGCATCTGTGTGTTAATGTGGCTGTGCATACATCCAAGCCGCCAAACAGCACAACATACAAGCACACTCCTGCAATCTAACACAAATATTTCATACAAAGACACCCCTTCACTGAAACACAAATACTTCACACAAATGTACATCCACATTTAAAAGTGAACATTACATTCAGAAACACCCCTATGTTAAAACACAATAAATGAATACAAGCACCCCTTCAAACACCAACACAGTACATCAAAGAAGGGCTACTAAACTGGTTCATGGATTGCTGGATAAAACTTACCAGGATAAGTTAAAGGATCTTAACATGTATAGCTTGGAGGAAAGACGAGACAGGGGGGATATGATAGAAACATTTAAATACATAAAGGGAATCAACACAATAAAGGAGGAGACTATATTTAAAAGAAGAAAAACTACCACAACAAGAGGACATGGTCTTAAATTAGAGGGACAAAGGTTTAAAAATATCAGGAAGTATTACTTTACTGAGAGGGTAGTGGATGCATGGAATAGCCTTACAGCTGAAGTGGTAGAGGTTAACACAGTAAAGGAGTTTAAGCATGCGTGGGATAGGCATAAGGCTATCCTAACTATAAGATAAGGCCAGGGACTAATGAAAGTATTTAGAAAATTGGGCAGACTAGATGGGCCAAATGGTTCTTATCTGCCGTCACATTCTATGTTTCTACACTATAGCGCCAGCACTTTACAGATATAAAACCTAGAAATTTTGACATGGTGTGCCTTGGGAAAAATACTGAAATACTAAGGGTGCCTTGAACCTAAAAAGCTTGGGAACCACTACATTAACCTATTCACATTTCTCCTGGTTTAACATTTATTTATTTTTTTGTCCCTTTAGCACGCTTATGTTCTTTGTGTAATTCTGTATTAAATGTTCAGCAGTTCATAATCTATGTAAACTTATGTGGTAAAGGACACTGTGTACGATAACTAAAATGTAAATATACAATGTAGGAGAGGTAACAAGTCAGAGATCTGTGTAAATCAGGCTTGTTAGTTTTTTGTGATTGCAACCCATTTTAAATCTGTTTGAACTTGGACCTCGAGATCCCATTTCTGAAATCAGTCATCCTGTTGGTGCCATGTCTCTCTAAATATGGAAGTAAATGCAGGCTTTGTCCACTTGGTGGCTATGTTGTGCCCGTCTACCCCAAACAGCTGGAAAGTAACAAGCTTATCTCTCGTTGTAGTGTCCTGCACAACCTATCAGGGTGTTAACTGTGTGCCATGATGGAGCATTCCCAAGACCTGAACACTGCGAGATTGTCATTCTTTTAACCTTTTTTGAGAAAGGGGAAAACTGCAATCCTATTTAACCTCCAATCTATGGATGCTGCTTTGAGACTAATTTAGAAAAGTCTGTGTATCTGTCATGGCAAATGGCGTAGCTAGTCACCCAGGGTGGAAATCTATGTTGGCAACCCCTCCCCAAATTTTAAACTTGTGTTGCTTTTGCACAAACTCATCCCCTGTAGGGAGCTCCTCCTGATCATTCTTGTGTGTTTCTCCTAATCCCCCCCTTTTCAATCTTGTGTTTTAACACCTTTCACCTTTTTGTCTCTCTTAACACAAACTTTTTATTTTTTTTTTTCTGAATCTCTTAACCCCTTAAGGACAGAGCTTCAGAAGCTTGTCTTTCACTTTATGAAAACAGCATTTTTTGCTGTTTGCGTTCAACTGCAATTTGCATTTTACTAATTTATTGCACCGACACATATTATATATAGTCTTTTAAAGGTCTTTAATTTGATGAGATAGATATATAGATATATTTTTATTTTTATTTTTTTTATTTTTTTGCAATAATGTGTTCATAATTAGTGCAGGTTAAGGAAAGTAATTAAAAGTAAATTCATGGGGGGGCGTGGTTTGGCCGCGAGGGAAGATGGCTGCCTAAGAGGAGAGCTCCGTCCCACACAGCTCCTACAGCCGGCTACCACCGCAGCACAGCGTGCTAATGGGGCGCACAAAACGCCCGGAGGGCACACAAACACCCAGGGCTCACCCAAGCAGCTCACAGACGGGACCCAAGGATGGGTATCTTGCCCCTTCGACGGCCGAGCACCACGAGGTGGCGGGCGCAAGCATGGCCGACTCCCCGACCCGCCCTCTCACCTCTGATCAGGAAGGGCCCTCATTAACAGATATCAGGGCGGACATTAGAGCCCTGGCAGCGGCAATGGTGACCAAAAACGATCTGCAGATCCTGTCTGACAACCTGCATGCAGCGATCCGCACAGAAGTGACTGCACTCAGGGCTGATCTCACCACACAAGCTAACAAGCTCCAGGTAACTGACATGACTGTGCAGGCCATGGGGGACAGAGTGGAAGCCACAAACCTTGCCATAAACAGGCAAGGCAATATCCTTTTAACCCTCAGGAGACAAACTGAAGATCTAGACAACAGGGGCCGCAGATCGAATATAAGGATCCGCGGCCTACCTGAACCTGAAGGGGACGAAGACATAGAGGCAACACTGCAGATGCTATTCCGCGACATACTGGGACAGGAGGCACCAGAGTCCATGATTTTTGATCGGGCGCACAGAGCAAACAGAGCGCGTGCAGCTGAAAACACACCACGGGACATTATTTGCTGCCTGCACGCCTACAAACTAAAAGAAAAAATAATGTACAAGGCCCGCTCGAGACCTACCTGGCGATTCCGCGACGCAGAAGTGGCCCTGTATCAAGACCTGTCACCCCTTACGCTTGAAGCCCGCAGGGCCCTGAGACCCGTCATGACACTCCTCAGAGACAGAGGGATCCCATATAAATGGGGTTTTCCCTTTATGCTCTTAGCCAGACATCAAAGTGAATGGATTCCGTTAAGATGGCCAGAAGAAGTGCCCAGATTCTTACAGCGCCTCAATCTACCACCGACGGAAGTCACTAACTGGATTCTGGGCCCACCGGAGCAGAGACAAGGCCCTCAGAACCCAGGCCAACAACGCAGAAGACGAGACACCACGCCAAGACGCCCACAGGCCCGCAGACAACTAGCACCCTCAGATCCTGAGGAGTAGAGGCGGGAGCTCCCCACCACACCCACCAGGCAAAACAGCTCCACCATGGCACACACGCTCTACCCGAGATGGCAGACCCTGATGGACGCTACCGTTGTCCTGTGTACCGCAGAAAATAGATAAGTACTGCTTGCACACATACATGAGTGGGGTCATATACACGGACACCCACAGCAAGGCCTAGTGGCAACATGATAGCACACCCCTTGGGTTGGACAGCATCTCCAAGTTGAATGGGGAAGGGGGCCTACTGGGGGTGAGGAACATTGGACAAGCTAGAAGCGGCCCAAAGTGGGGGACTAAGTTTAGGTTTGCCTGCCACATACAAGCCGCACAGCTGCTTTGGATTGCTGGTCATCTGCGGGCACCCCAACACACAAGCCATTCGGGCGAAGCGAGAGCGAACTTGCCGTGCTACACCGATAACTGGACTTTTGTCTGGGGGTGGCGGGAGTGGGGGGGAAAAGAAGGGGCCTGAGGGAACACGCACCTAGGCACTGTTATTCCAGGTTGTAATATGGATGATGTATGTATAGGTTATGCTAGTAGAATGGCCTAGGGGTCGGGCCGGGATGGGGTGGGGGGGGGGGAGGGCTGGGGCTCTAGCTGTGCTGCCTAAGGTATCACCATGTTTATGTGGATGGCACTTGGGGGATGGGCTGGGACTGATGAGGGTGGGGATGGGAGATGCACACTCAATGGTGGGGCACTGTATATTTAAAACGTTGCACACTTTACAGGACACGTATCCCCCCTGACACAGTGTTATTACCATCTCCACATGCACATGCACATCCTACGGCATGGTAAACCTAAGCACGAAAGATCTGACCCCCTAACGGACAGGTCACGCAACGCTAACTATCCTAGAGACGTCCACCCAAGGCCCTCCCCATGTGACGCAGGCTCATGTGGTGACGACTCCTCCCCCGGCCGCACCGGCACGACCCATTGCACACCGCATGCCACCTTTGCGTTACACTGGTCATACAACACGGTAGGCGACTCAGGGGGGACTGTCGGGTAGACGCCCCGAGACACACCGATAACCTTCCACGCAGGGTAAGACTCCTGGACAACCACCCACGCCCCATTGTCACGAGACATACAGACCGTTCATTTAAGAAAAATAGCCAATGACGTCAGTTTGGAACATGTGGGACACGGACATCTCACTAGGTAACCCTCATACTTTACCGTAAACACTAGATAGTATACTCCTGCTACTCAGCAGGCAACACGCTGGACTAGCCAATTCCACTAACCCCGACCAGACCTGTGTAGACCTGATTACTGGGGGATCCAACTCCGTGGCTGCCCTAGCCCAACTAGGAGACGGTACGGCTTTGAACTCCGCCCAGCTACACAGGTTCCCCTCATACTGAGGGATATACCACACAGAGACCACATTATTGTGGCCTCCAATCAGAGACCTCCCGGGTCGGACCGAACCGGGCGCGGGCAGAGCCGCTGACCTGCGGGGCACAGGCCCTCCAACGACTGGGTGTCATAGCCGACCCACTTCCCGTTGTAGCGCTCACTCATCCCCCCCCCCACTTATTGCAGTAGGAGTGCGCACGGGCACCTAGATCTCCCCACGGGAGACCAAACACCGCAGGACTTGTACGCGCAATCACTCTCTCTCTATGGCTTACACGGCCGAACCCCTCAGCATCCTAACACAGAACTGTCGGGGCCTTAACGCACCTGAGAAGCGCTCACATCTCTTACGGGAACTTCACCGTAAGCGGATCTCAGTGGCTCTGCTGCAGGAAACGCACCTCAAATCGGTGGACACCAACAGACTGAAGGACAGACGGTATCCAACCAACTGCCACAGCACCCACCCTACTGACCGAAGGGCAGGAGTGGCGATACTGATAGCCGCTAATATCCAATTCACCCAGACGGACCAACTCACGGACCCAAACGGCAGATACCTTTTTCTCAAAGGCACTATATCTGGAAGAATTTACACCTTCGCATCAATCTATGCGCCAAATGCAAAGCAGGCGACGTTTCTGAACAAAACGATTCGCCAACTGGCAACGTTCACGGAAGGTTCGCTTGTCATAGGGGGGGACTTTAACGCGCCACTCGACCCACTATCCGACTCATCGACCGGACACAGCAGCATACCACAAACCGCGATCAGGGCGATAAGGAAGACGCTGTTAGACCTGAGACTGGTGGATGCGTGGCGAACCTTACACCCGACGACTCGAGATTATACGCACTACTCGGCCATTCACAGGAGACATTCGCGTATCGACTACATCCTCATTCAGCAGGAAGGGTTACAACGTCTGCGATCAGCCGAAATTGAACCAACACCATGGTCGGACCATAGCGCAGTACAAGTACACCTGGACTCCCCTCTCTTCAGACCCTCTAAATCGACATGGAGATTGAATGAGTCACTCTTGTTGGACTTGGGAGTAAAGACACTCCTGACGGAACACCTGTCCAACTACTTCACTGAGAATTATACGGAAGACGTTTCTAAAGTGACACTCTGGGAAGCACACAAAAGTGTGCTTCGGGGCCACCTCATAAGGATTGCATCACGGAAGAAGAAGGAAATACAGCAACACATGCTGGAACTTACCGGCCAGATTTCCAATTTGGAAACTCTGCACAAACGGTCACAACTCGAGGAACACTATCGCTGTCTTTTAGACGCACGACGACAATTGACAGAACTGATAGCACGCAAACACCATTGAGCGACGCAGAAATCTAAAGCCTTCTTCTACATCCACGCCAATAAAAGTGGGAGACTCCTGGCCAACATGATCCGACCGCAACAAGCCAGGGCGCAGGTACATGCACTGAGAAGGACCAATGGCACCCTCACACAATTCCCGGAGGATATAGCAAACGAATTCCGTGATTATTATCAACGACTATACAACACCTCGTCGACGCCCGACACTCAACGTGCCGCTCTGCAGGAAGCCACAACGCGCTATTTACAAAGATTTCGACCGGACGCCCTCACGCCGGAGGAAGCGGAAATGCTGGAAACCCCGATCACCATAGAAGAAATACAAGCGGCAATTAAGGCAGCGAAGAGGGGGAAAGCGCCAGGTCCGGATGGGCTATCGGCGGGGTATTATAAAATGTTTGGAGGCATTTTGAATCCACACTTAACAGCAGCCCTCAACCGACTCCAACAGGGTGACAAGTTCCACCAAGAAACACTAGCTGCCACAATTACGGTGCTACCCAAGCCAGGCAAAAATCCCGAAAATTGCGGCAGTTACCGGCCGATCTCACTCCTTAACACGGATGTGAAACTCTTCTCCAAAATCATCGCCACAAGACTACAAACGTATGTCCAGCGCCTAATCCACCCTGACCAAACAGGTTTCGTGACAGGCCGGGAAGCCAGGGACTGCACTCTAAGGGCGTTCTCTATACAGGCATTGGCCCTTAAGGGAGACACGGAGTTGCTAATGCTCTCCACAGATGCTGAAAAGGCATTTGATCGGGTAACGTGGAGCTTCATGATGGCAACACTGCATAAGGTCGGCCTAGGACCAGGAATGATAGCCTGGATAGAGGCGCTCTACGCTAACCCTAATGCCAGAGTGAGGGTGAATGGCGCGCTCACAGACAGCTTTACCATACACAATGGCACCAGGCAGGGCTGCCCGCTATCGCCGCTCCTATTTGCCCTCTCGTTGGAGCCGTTCTTGGACAGGATAAGGCAAACCCCAGAGATTAGGGGGTTTAGACGTAAGGACCAGGAACATAAGGTAGCCGCATACGCGGATGACATGCTCTTTTTTATCGACAACCCTATCAACTCCATGCCGGCTCTGATGGAGGAATTTGACATATACGGCCGGGTATCGGGACTGAAGCTAAATCAAACTAAATGCGAACTGTTGAACGTGTCGGCCCCAACAGCTGTAAGGGAACGGATCGAACGCGAATTCCCCTTCCACTGGTGCCCAGGCCAGATGCGTTACCTGGGAATTTGGATACCCAGCGAACCGAAAGAGATAAATGCCAGAAACTACACGCCCCTTCTACGCACAATACTGCTCGACCTCAAAAATTGGAACTTTGACCACATATCCTGGCAGGGACGCATAGCGGTGGTTAAAATGAATATTCTACCAAGGTTGCTTTACCATTTTCACACCATCCCCTGGCACGTACCCCCAGAATTCTTTACAACACTTAAATCGGCGGTGATAAAATATGTCTGGAAGGGAGAGAGAGCACGACTCAGCTACGACAAATTGTGTCTACCCAAGAACTGGGGCGAACTGGCGTTGCCCGACGTTCGCAAATATTTTCAGGCCACGGTTTTACAACGGATTAGAGATTGGCACACAGCACCTGAACACAAATTGTGGGCTGCCTTGGACAGGGAGAGTACGAACAAGGCCCTCCACATGTATATATGGCAAGGCACAGCGGACGCGGCACCAAAACTGGGCAATGAATCACCCATCGTACAAACGCTGAAGACGTGGTCTTCCCTGAGGCGAAACCAATATATCTCCCCACAACCAAGCACCTTGATCCCGATAACACACAATAGCATGATAGGCGGGGGACTACACCGATCTGCCTGGCCGATAGATGGAGACGGAGATTATATCCCGTTGTCCAAGGTCCTGTGCAACACAGGAATGAGAAACCTGCCAGAATGGAGCACGGCGACACTACACACGCTGATGCACAGATTTCGATACACACAATTGCGGCACTTCTACTACAACCTTCCCAACCGTGAAGCGATCCACAGAGAACAGACGTGGTTCGAACACCTCTGCGTGACAAACACCGACACAGACGGCAGAGTATCAATCCTTTACCAGCAGTTGATCACAGGGGATCGCACACGTAAAAATGCATTTAAGAGGCAATGGGAAGAACTGACGGCAAGGACGTACACAGAGGCGCAATGGGAGCAGATATTAATATTACAACACAAGAGCTCCATAAGCACAAGGTATCAGGAGGTCAACTTCAAATTACTCTCACACTGGTACAGAACCCCATCTCTATTACACAGGATATTCCCGGGAACGACAGATACATGCTGGAGATGCGAATCCCAAACAGGCACCCTACGACATATCTGGTGGGACTGCGCGCGGATTAAACCATACTGGGAAGACATCAAGAGGGAGATAACGACAATCGTGGGTGACTTACCAGAATTTACCATGGAAATGGCCCTACTACACTTACGGAAAGCTCGATAGCCCAATATAAGAGATCGATACTGAGACACCTGCTCAATGCTGCGAAAGCGTCTATACCAGCTAAGTGGAAGCAGATCCACCCACCAACCGTAGCAGAATGGCTACAGAGAGTTGAGGAAATACACACAGCTGAGGCACGATACGCAGAACTACTAGGGAGAAGCACCAGACATGTCGACATCTGGACCCCATGGTATGTTTATCTCTCCCGTACCAGAACTTAGAGAGGCACGAGCTCACTGCGACACCCGGGGGCTGGGGATGCCCGGGCGCACTCCGATGTAAACTGCTCAAAGACCCTTCCACACCCCCTTCCTTTTCCTCCTACTCCTCCCCCCTTTTTATACCTGCTACAACTACTGCTTGCGTGTAACTCCACTAAGGGACACCGCGGGGGCGGTGCGGCTTGCGGCCGAGGGGGTCGGAACCGGGAGGGCTCGAACACGTTGACGCACAAGATATTACCATGACGTGTAGATAGTTCTACTGACACGATCTTCCGACTTACACAAGACTGAAAGACAGCGGCAGAACAGGCTCTGACGCATGGAGAACATGTCATCGAGGTAGGACATAACTAACTACTGAGCGGATAGGAGCTAAGCAATAGATTAACAATTCATCAAGGTGACTAGACACAGACATAACCCATACCCGACCTAGGGGACACACAAACAGACCCAACCCATTAGGCTAACTCCGACCTCATAATTTCCCCTGGGGTTCACTTCTATGGGAGGCTCCGAGTGGAAGCCTGGATTCAAGGAATCGCCCCCTGATCTGTACTGCATCAGGCACTAGAAACTGAATCCCAGTGTTGGCACCATAATATTGACACGTGTGCATGAGACCTTGAATTGAGCTTTACAGTTTATGTCCCAAATGTCAATCAATAATACTGCTCCTGTATTCGGACTTCATGCATCATATCCGTCTTAATTCTGTTGTTACTACGATGTTACTGCCTTATTTTTCCTGCCAACCTTGCTAGTTCGGAGACACAGCAGCATACTATAATTTAGAGAGGAAGCGTTGCCACGTTTTTACTAAGCTATTCAATCTAGAGTTTTTATCTGTTCTGTAAATGCGTTCTTATGCACCGATGTTACTATTGTATTCATTTTCCTGTTAAACGATATGGCGCTTGACGACTATTGAGTATTCAGGATCGCGCATGATCAACACTTGTATTATCAGAACTAATGCTCGATTTGTTCACACGCACACGTACGCTGTTGTAGCGTTTGCTTATGTTTATTGTACTCACCTGTATGACAAAATTAAAAAATTTACAAAAAAAAAAGTAAATTCATTTAGCTGTTCTGATTTAAAGAATATATAATGTCTGGGATTTAAAGTTTTTTTTTTTTTTTTTCTTCCCTCACAAGGTCACAAACCATAAGGAGTAAAATAAACTTTTAATGTGGAGCGATTTTAGAATTTGGTATGTTTGTCTTGTAAGCTTAATAGCCATAAATGAAAACAACATTGTCACACAAGTATATATTTATAGAAAGTAGACATCACAGGCTATTTACCTAGGGTTGTTTTGACACTTTCTACATAGCCATTTCACCGCATACCTCTGCTAAATATTGGAGTAAAATTGTTTTGTTTTAGTTTTTGGCACACAAACTTATAACAAAGAACTTCTTGTGTGTATATTGTAAAGTTGGTGTGTGCTATTCCTGTACAAAGTTTTTTATTTTGTGTTCAGTTACATCTGCTGAGTAAAATGACACCCCCATTGTATGTCTTTGGCACTATTTCGTGAAGCTAAAGTGCCATATAGGAGACCAAGCCATTTCAGTTTTTAACCAAACTTTGACGCTGGGCCTATGTGCAATTTCCAAGCATCTTAGCAGGTTTTAAATTCAAACTATCCCACAAAGGCCTACCATTTCTTAAAGTAGATACCCCAGGGTATTTCAAAAGGTATATTCTAAACCTTGGTGTAGGATAATTTTTTTTTTTTGTTAGTTTGTACCAAGTCTAGTTGCAATTAGTATTTTTTTTCTGCCTTTTTGACACACACTTGGAGATGTTACTGTATATTTTGCTATCCTTATGTGTGCTACGCAGTGGCGTACATACCAGCAGGCAGGTGGGCGCGCGAGGGAGCACTCAGTGCTTCCTCTTCAGCTCCCTCGCGCACCGCACTGATGCCGGAGCCGGAAGATGACGTCATCTTCAGGCGCCGGCATCACTACGCAGCGCGCGAGGGAGCACATGGGGGAAAGTGCTCCCTCGCGCGCCGGCTGCCCAGCCAGCCCACCCAGTGACCTGCTGCCCAGGACCCCAGCAGCACCACCACTGGACCCCAGGGAATCCCCCCAGCACTCCAAAAGGTAAGGAGGCTGGGGGGATTAAATTTGAAGAAGAAAAAAAAGTTAGTGTGTGTTATTGGGTGTGTCTGTTAGTGTTACTGAGTGTGTGTTTGTAAGTGAGTGTGTATGTATGTCTGTTATGGGGATGTTGAAGGGGCACATTGGAGACACACCACTTCCATATTTTTCAAAAGTAGATGCTGGGCCCAAGTCTCATTGTAGCAGCTCAGGACTGCAAATTGCCTCTCAAAGGCTACATATATTTTTAAGTAAAAGCAGCTCATCAATTCAAATTATGAACAAGTGCATACTATTTGCTGTGAAAAGGGGGAATAGTTGGGGTAAACTTATCCGGGGGTAGTACCCAGTCATCTGCATCCCGGGCAAAGCTGTCATGGATTCCGAAACCAAAACACCGACAGACTACAAAGAGAGAGAACACAGAGAGAAACTTGTAATACCGGTCCTTAGAATGGCCGGGCTATACAAGCAGAGAATTGTCAAGGTACAAGCAGAGGTCAAAGGAGTAAAGAGAAACGGAACAACGATAGGACAAGCCGAGGTCAAGGATCAGAGAAGACAGGATAAGCGAGAGACAAAGCCAAGATTCGGTAACCAATCAGAGAGATAAAAAAAAAAAAAAAATCACAAACCAAAACTGGTCTACTTATTCGGCCCGGGTGTGAAAAAAAATTGAAAACAGTGGCCAATGCATAGGCCGGGCTGAGAGGGGCAATCAGGGCAGTAATAGCTGGTCTCAGCTCTTACGCCCCTCTTGTAACACACCCTGCACCTTTTCTGGGGGTTTTGTTTTTTAGGGGTTGGTGGAATCTTAAAGCAGAAGTGACCTGCCTCCATTCTTCTGCTAGGCTCCACTGATGGTCTCCTTGTGTGGCACTCAAGTAGCCCAGAAATGAGGTTAAACTGGAACGAAAGAAAAGTGATATTCAGCCCAGCATTTGCCTTTTTGAAAATGACAAATGCATTGTGTATTGCCATCTGCATCAGATATATGCCCATTTTTTTATACCATGCCCTGGTCTTATGCATGATCAAATACGGCTGCATCAGTTGATCGGATAGGTCAACGCCCCCCATATGCCGATTATATTGCCTTATGCAGACTGGCACTCGTTTGCATTCCTCTCTGCCACGAACTGCGACCCTCCGAGTGTTTTCACCATGAATGGTGGTTAAGATGAAAACATCCTTTTTATCCCTGTATTTGAGTGCCAGCAGTTCATTCTGGCAGAGAGCTGCTGTTTCCCCCCTTTTCATTTTTTTGTTTGCTAGAGCCTTTGGGAAACCTGTGTGACTCTTCCGAATAGTGCCACAGGCCACAGTCTCGAAGCAGTATAACATTTTTAACAGTGGGATGCTATTATAAAAGTTATCAATGTATAAATGATAACCTTTATTAAGTAGTGGCATTATTAAGTCCCAGACAATTTTCCCACTTGTCCCTACTATATCTGGGCAACCTGGGGGATCAAGGTGGCTATCCCTTCCTTCGTATACACGGAAGGTGTATACGTAGCCACTGCCACTTTCACACAGTTTATAAAATTTGATCCCATATCGGGATCTTTTGGATGGGATATATTGTCTAAATCCCAGTCTTCCCTTGAACTTCATGAGGGACTCGTCATTGGAAATGTTTTTATTGGGGGTATATATAGTGGCAAATTTACTGTTAAAGTGGGCAATTAAAGGGTGGATTTTATAACGAAGATCATACTGCGGAATACTTTTTGGGGGGCACTTGCTATTATCACTAAAGTGCATAAATCGCAGTATGTCTTCATATCTTTCCCTCGGCATTGTCTCGGCAAAAATGGGGGTATTGCAAATAGGATGTTTAGATCAATACATCCTAATTGTGGGCTTTTTAATTAGCCCCATTAACATGGTCAGTGCCCAGAATTGTTTCAATTCTGGCACAGTGGTTGGGTTCCATCTCTCTTTCCTGGAGATAAGAGAGTCTGCATTGCGTGCCAGATACTGCTCCGCATAAAGATTAGTCTGGGTGACTATCTCTCCAAAA